AGTATTACTTAACAATTATACTGTGTAACTTTGTAGATCATCCATAGTACCCATCAACCTCAGGTACTATGGATGATCTATTCTACAGGGTTGGTAAGGCTACCATAAAGCATTTTTATTTGAATCCCAGTCATCTTTACAGTCCTGAAAGAACGGTTGCCAGTCTCTCCTAAATTGCAAAAAAGATTGGACAAAAGCAGGTGCCCATGGATGCTTAGTAATGGTAGACTTGCTGGTGTATCCTTTTCTTGTTGGTGGGCTACACCGCAGCCATAATGTGCTAATGCTGCTACAGGGCAGTTTTGTGAAAGGTTATTCTACGTTCACGATAACGGCATTTCCTCCAATGAGGACTTTCTGGGTTTATATGAAGGCAACGAATAACGTTAAAACAATCTGTCTCACTAAGAGGCAAGAATCCCCTTATGGGTTGGAAAAGGAAAATTTGGGGACGTTACAAAACCCTGCTGTCTTCTACCAAGCTTCGCCATCGCAGCAATGAGTGTAAAAGAGCTTAAAACCAGAGCTGGACGAAAAGGAGTGGGTGAAAACGGGGGAGGACAGCGAGGCGAGGAGCGCTGAAACGGCTTGGCTTCGGTGTTTATTTTTTGCAGGGCTCTGGTTGGGGGCGTGTATTTAAATAGAGCCGTGCAGCCAATGTGCGCCGAGGGGTTGGACCGTGAGGGGAGCTTGTTTACAACAGAGCTTTCCGAGCTGTTCTAACCCGGCCGGCAAGGAGGAAGAAGGCGAGAAGCAAAGCCTGGCGGCGGGAGCACGTGGAGTCGCGCGCGCGGGAGGCGGCCAGGCCGCCCTGTCCGCTCCCCCTGCCGCCCGCCCCGGGAGGAGCCGTCTGCAAGGTGAGATGTTGGGTGCAGCGACGGACCTGGACAGGCCCTGCCAAAGTCCACCGTGCACTGGCGGGACTGGTAAATAAATTAAGGCAAGATCGTGGGTGTTCGCTGAAAAAGGTGCCAGATCTTGCGAAAGGACAGCCGTAGTGGGGGCTGGCTTAGAGCAAAGGTCCATATAGTTCCAAATGGCGTGTGCAAAGGTGGCTCTCGGAGGGAGCTTTTAAGTGGCTGGAAGGGGGCGACTTACTGTTGCTGGTTTTCTATTAAATCGGCAAAAGCGGCTATTGGCAGATATATTGCTTCTGCATATGCAGGATCCATTATTCCATTTACAGTAGTTACTTCATCTGCCTGGAAATGATCCAGTCCTTTTGGATTCCTCTTAGAAGCCAGCGGCCATTGCTTCGTCTGCTTAGGCGTTAAGTAAAGAAGTGCAATTTTGGTTTTGACTGTCTCCGTGATCTGCCTCAATACACATTCTCGGCTTCTGATGTTTTAAGAAAAGCTTTACTTTCTTCATAGTTTGCACATTTTTATAGCTGGCTGACATGTTCATCTGCTTTCCCCCCCCCCCCAGCTTGTCTAAATTAAGTCATTTCCACATGAAGAAAAGCAGAATCTCAGTCTTTTCTAAGGGCAGGTGCATTTGACCACCAACCTCTGCAGACAGAGTGTGTATTGGCCATGCTGGTGGAGGAAGATGATTGTGTACTCTAACATTCAGAAGGCACAGGGCTGGGGGAGGCAGTTTTAGCTTTTTCTCAGAGGAAGCAAACTACAGCTCTATAATCATTTGTATATTTTCTGGATATTTGTACATTAATGTCTGCATATACTTTGCTTCTAGTCTAAAGCAGAAAGTGAACCATTGTTTCACTAAGACTGTCTAATGAAGGTATCTTGATTTCCTTTATTTTACAAAAATGTATGTTTAGTCTTTGAGACTTTTAACTCACTTAAAAGCACTTTGTAGCTCATCTCCTTAAAGGAATTGTAGTATGCAATTACAGAAGTTCTTCCATAAAATTTTGGGGAAAATCCTGGGCATGCATTTGTACAAATTTATATTTATTGATAGCCTCAACTGCGTAAACTGAAAGCATAGCAGCTTTTCTGAATCCTCCAGTTAGATTGGACTGGAATTCCTAGAGCTTCCAGCTTCTAAAAATTTTAGGAGTTGTAATTCCAACACATCTGGAGGGTGCCAGGTTGGGAAAGACTGCTTTAGACAGCAAATGGATGGTGGAAATGGATTACTTCAAGTCAAACGAGGGCAAATAGTGGCCCACAGAACACATTCAATCTCCAAACCACATTTTTTGCAGGTGTCAAAAGCTGTGTCTATCTATATCTTTGGATTTCAGCAGCATAATGGCCCCCAAACTCAGCACCATTTGTGGTGGGGGAAAAAAACACAGGACTGTTAATCTAAATCCTAAAATAGGTCTGGCATACTTTGGAAGACAAACTATTCTTTCCTCATCAACTGGGAAAAATGGAGAATTTCTGCTCCACCAAAGGTGCAGATAAGCTTCTGCTCACTATATAATCTGCCCACTGAAGCTTTCCAATAGTTTATCCTCCACTCCTCAATTTAATGGAATAGATACACCCAGATCTCGTATTTATGAAATACCTTGCTTCTTAGTGATCATGCTGGATAATGTATCTTGCAACATTGGGTAGGATATATAGCTGTCAGAGACTTTCACTTACAATTGGCACCTTTGATGCTTTAAAAGAAGATCAGGAGGGCCCCTAGCTTAGACATATAGACTCTTTTTAACATATAGAGAGGCCAACATTCAAACACTGATATCTCCAGTGGAAAGAAGGATCAGATAGTAACATTTATAGAAAGTTTTCTCTGGAAAATGGTTGCCAGTCCAAGTTGATAGTTAATAGTCTGTCCTGGCATATATCACTCTAGGAAAAACTAAGACTTAATGGTGAGAACTATTTTATAACAGTGTAGAATGCCTCAGACCAGGTCATATATGGCCCCTTTATATTTTACCCGTGCTTTGAGACTTTGGCTATTTGAAATTCAGTGGCAAAATGGCTGCAAAATTCAGTAGCTCTTCTACACTGGGAGGGTGAAATAAACAGAAGTGGACTTTCAGAAAACCATATGACACAGGAAAGCATTATATCTTTGGAGCATAGACTTTAGCTCTAACTTCAGTGAGCCAAGCCATATCTGCCTGAAAGAGTGGAATTGTGAGAATTCTCCAACTTTTTTGGATCTCAAGAAAGATTCCAAGGTTGCTTTAACTGGAAGCTAGTATCTGCAAAACATATCTTCAGTATTGGTGCTTATTTTCCCCAAATAATTTTACTAGTTAATCCAGGCTAGTGTTCCAACTTTTTTTTATCTCCATTTCAAGGAACCTAAATTTAAGTCTATCAAGGTAAAACTAAATTGATAAACATAACTATGATCTACAAAATAACCCCTGCAAAGATTATCTGGCTGTCTGGTCCAGTTCAGGTTTTTTTTTTTTTTTTTAAAAAAAACCAACAACACAACCGTACTTTTAAAATGCAAATGAAAAATTGTTCTGTTTTTGCCCTGCAGTTAGGAATACTGAATGTTTCTTAGAAGCTCAAGGAAGGAGCTCTCCAACATTAAGCTGATAAATATAAGGTGCCAAAGGTGTCACGTTCTAGCTTAGCAGCCCCCCCCCCTTTTCTTCTTCAAAGTTTTCTAGGCTCTTTTATTGCTTCCTTAAGTCTTGAGCTACACTTCATCTTCTATTTGCAGTGTAGGTGTGTCTCTTCAAACATAATTGCAAACCCTTGGGGCAAACAACTTGTTAATATGTGTGTTAAGAAGGATAACTACAGTAGTGGCAAATTCAGTGGTGAAAAATGGCAAACTTTTTTTTGAATAAAACTGGTTTCCTCTGCAGTGAACATGGCTTTAAATTAATTCTAGGAAGTGGGTTTTAAAAATCCACAGCAGCCTTATTTACTTAATGCAGCAATTCTACTATATATGCTAATAATTTTTGAGTCATTCATTGGACAAGTGACATGGCTTTCTGTGTGTCCCCTTTGTATGTGCAGTAGTTGTGTCTCTACAACATACCGGTATTTTGCTTCCCCTCTGCACATTTTGGCTTTGCTTCCATGGTTTCTGTTACATTTCTGTTCTGTACGTCCTTCAGAACTTGGATACATTAATTTTTAGATGTTGAAATATACCTTTTCATCCTGTATAAATAGTTCATGAAGTGGGCTTTGCTTTTGTTTTCTTTTGTTTTCTTTTCTCAACTTTTCAGTGAATATAATTTGTATTTATTAATTGTACCTATTCTTTTATATTTTGTAACCCACTTTGAAATGCATTTGCATAGGAAGCAGCATAAAATGTGTCAAATGCCCATCAAGCTTAGTTCTTTCTGAACAAATATATTTTTTCTAAATGTTGCCAGCTGGGAATGATGGGGCTTGAAAACTGACATATGTAGGGACTTCTGGCCGTCCTAGCTTCCAAAGTGTTGTTAAGCAAAGCGTGATGACAATGTCCTGTATAGCGTGTGCCCAGTACAATATCATCCGGTCCTCGGAGCTACAGTAGTAAAAAAACCTCCCTCGAGTGTGCGAGGCACCAGAAATTCACCTGAGCTAGCATTTTGTCTACAGCGGCAGTTCGCCACACGCCTCGAAGTTTCCATGCCCGACTGGTGGCACTTGCCCCGTGGATGCTGCCTGCCCAGTCAGCTGGCGCCTGCTATTTTGTGGCCACGCGGGTTGGCTAATGTGTGCAGAATTGCCAAGGCGCTCCCCCGCTCCCAGCCGGCTCCTCGGTGCGGCTCGCGTTGTTTGCGTTCTGGTTTTGCGCGTTTCCTCGACGTGCTGTTATGCCGCCGCCACCGCAAAGCGAGTACCTCCCTTCCGAGCCGGGACTCCAGGCCGGGGGCTGCCTGCAGCCGCGTACGTGAGGCAGCTTGTGCCGGGGACAGAGAAGGGGAGGGGATTGGAGGGGAGGAGAAAGGGAGGAGGGAGCTGGAAGGGGAAGGTGAATTTCAAAACAAGCTTCGGAAAGGAAGGAGGGAGCGGAGCTGGCAAGCGGCGTCTGGAGGTAAGCGGAGAAGCGCTGCGGGTGGCGGCGGGGAGGGCGCACACCCCCTTGCGCGCGCGGGGGAATCGGGGGCGCTGCAGCCGCTTGGAAAGAGGCCCGAAAAGCCCAGGCAGCGGGGACCGGCAGTGCAAACGGAGTGGGTGTGTGCGCGCGCAACCTGCCACGGGCCGTGCATTCTCGCTGCCGCGCGGTTTGCGGGCAGATCTTGTTCTATCCGCTTCCTCGGCAAACCCGAACCAAACTTCGTGGATCTCGCTTGATCTCCTCCACCCGGTTTAGGAATTGCTTCCTGGCTGAAAAAGGGTGAGCTCTTGCGCGCAGCTCCCTAATCCAAAGCCGCGACCCCGGTCCTCGGCGCTCTAACAGTTTACCTGCCCTCTAGATTACTCTTGTCTTTTGCAGAACCGAAATATTTTATGCCTGTCCTTGCACCGCAGCAAGTGCTTTTCGCTGTGCGTTCGTTTTTTCGGCGTGGTTATTGAAGTCCCCTCGCATTTCCTCCCCCTTGGACAAGCCCTCCAGAAGCGAGAGGTGAAGGAGATCGATTTTGGTTAGCCTTTTCTTAATGTTCCCTCCACGCGCCTTTATTAAAACCCGCAGTCGATTTACTCTTGTTCCTAATTTTCCACGATTACTTGGTCCGGGTAACCCGTTCTTCCTTGTGCAAGCCACCGTGTGTTTTGATCAACGCGTGTTTGCCACGCCTCCCTTTAGTGGGCGCTTTTCCTTCGGTCTTGTCAGTTTTTGGCACCGGGAACTGTGCAGACCAAGGCAGCACCCGCTTCTTGCTTCGTCTGCAGGGCCCTCGCCGTCCCGCCCTCTTTCCTAGCTCTTGGGTCCCGCTTCAGCCCTTTCCCCACTACCAGCCAAACCGCCCCCTTCTGCCTTCTAGCCGCTGCGCCTGCCCCGCCCCTGTTTTGCACATGACACGCCTACTCTAGGCGCAGAGGGGCTCTGCCCCGGGAGGAAAAGTGCCACTCCCCCTCTTCTTGCGGCCATGTCACGTTTGCATTTAGACCACGCCTCGCTGTCCAGCCCAAGATTCTACATTTTAAGTCTTTTTATTTATTGATTTATTCATTAATTTTGTATGACTGCCCATGTCGCAAAAAAGTGACCGGCGATGTTGAATCTTGCCGGTCAAACTTCAGGGCGCTTCTCGACTTTGCACGAGCACGCCCCGTCCTGAAACGCCAAACTTGGGACGTTGCTTGGGCTTTCCCGTTGTGATTTGAGTGGCTGGTAATCCCTTGGCATTTTCTGTAGTGAACCTTTGGAAAATCAGCAAGAGGAGAAGATACTACAGGAGTTGAGAAAACCAGAACAGTCTAGCGCAAGGCAACTATGTTTTGTTCTGTAGGTCTCTGCAGCTGTCACCCTTCACTGTCGTTTTCTTTCTCACAGACTCCTAACATAAATATACTTGTGCAGCTGTTAGCTTTTGCATAGCTACGCAAGGCTTCAGCTTCTGGGCAGTGCCTTCCACAGCTTGGATCCCATTTGTCATGCACCCTCTCTTCCATAATGCTGTGCAGGTTTGAACGTTTCCTTCAAAAGTAAATCTCACTGAGATTGCAGTTTAGGGCTCACTGTTCTAATGGTGTGGAGTTTTAAAGTGCAGTTAAAATGCTCCAGTAAGCAATTAAATATATGGCTCTTTGCGTGCCAGCCTTCCGGTTCCCCAGACCTGAATTCCTGGATCTTTGTTTTAGGAAAGATGTAGATATTTGGATGAGGACATTTTAGGAAGACTTTTTAGGAGACTGAAGCTTAGTTTGACGAATTTTAAAACCAAAAGATCATATTCTGAAGATTCCCTGCCTAACAATCAATCATCTTGGAGCTCTGCTAGCTGAAAGGACTTCAACGCTTTTCATAACTTGCATTGGTCAATGGAAGGCCTAGTATTTGCTTTTACACAATATATGGGGTGAGCTTGTTGGATTTGCATGTTGTGTGAATCCAGCCAGTTTGATTAGTTTATAGCTCAAGTCACTGTGCAAATCCTCCAGAAATGTTTGACACAACAACCCAGGTAAGGATGTTCAGTGAACATAGCCAGCGTGCTACATTTCAGCAGATGCTGCTTTCTTTGAATCTCTTATTTGTGGGATGGAAGAGAAAGAGAGAGAAAGCAGCACCTCTTAATGGGGAATCTGTGGCAGGAGCAAGCTTGTCTGGGCCCTGCTCTGGCCTTGAAATACAACAGGGTGAGATGAGATGGGAAGGGGAGGCTGCCCCAAATGTAGGGAGCAGTATGCCATTGGCCCTTCCTGTTTCCCATTTTGTTACCATGCAGGTTTTTGCTCCTCTTGTAGCCCTAAGTGGTACTTGTTGTGTTGCCCCCCCCTTTTGTGCCACACCCCTTCTTTATGCTCCCTCCTTGCAACTTGGAACATATCTCAGATCTTCTACTTGAGAGTTGGGCCTTCTCCAAATCACACAATTTACTACGCAATATGCCAGTATCCATGGCTGTGCAATCTGGGAGATGTAGTCCTGAACTTCTTTGACATATTGTAGAAGGTTTGTCCTGTGAGTTAACTAACATCTGTTTGATGGCTGATTACTGGTACTTGATTACCCTTTGCCATGCAGTGGTGTGGTGACTTCTGGGCTCCTGCCATTTTCTCTTGGTATACATGTTGCTGACTAAGTTTGTGATTAGCCAACGATCAGAGCTTTTACTGCCAGGCAGAAGTTCCTTTCCAAAAAAAATGGCTTGCTTTTTCTTCTTCAGAGTTACCAAGATTACCCTAAGCAAGTTATATAATGGAGTTGGCAAATTATTTATGGACTAGAAACTTTTGCAGGCAGGAAAAGTCTTTTGCACATTTCAAATGGCAAAAATGGCAAGGTCCCAGATTCTCAAAAGTTGTGGGGGGAACCAACTGTGAACATTTTGTGTGTGTGTGTGCACACCTTCAAGTCAGTCTTGACTCCTGGCGACTGCCTGGACAAGTCCCTGCACTTTTCTTGGCAAGATTTCAGAAAGGGTTTGCTATTTCCTGCTTCCCAGAGCTGAAAAAAAGTGACTGGTCAAAGTTGCTCATCTGGCTTTGGGCCTAAGGCAGGACTGGAACTCACAGTCTCAAATTTTCTAGCCTGATGCCTTAACCTCTGTCTTAAACTGGCTCCCCACTTTGAACATTGAGCAATGTAAAGTGCTGATGGAAGAACATTTTTGAAGGCCCAAACCCTCACTTTCAGATATACCCTGCAAAGCTATACTAAAGGCAGAGGACCCTCTTGAGATGAGTAGGTTGAAGCAAATGTAAAGCCATCTTTGAGTTGACTTTAACTTCTGGCCGGGAACGGCTTTTCATTTTCTTGGCAATCTTGTGGTAGTACTTTGCTACTATCTATTTTTCTGATGTTTTATCCATTTTCCTGTCTAGCCATAGCCTTGGGATTCTCTGGTGGCCTCCTATCCCACTACCGAGGAGGTTTGATCCTACTTAGTTTTTTTGCGGGCAGCCAATGTTGGCTTGGTACCGTCACTTTCCAATTCAACCAGGGACATTTTCCCAGTTAGAGAATCTTCTCATCTTTTCAGTCTGTTCCACTTCCAACCTCATGGCGATCTTTGCTAGAAAAATCCCTGAAGCCCCTTTTCCAGCATTTATAAGGAGTTCTGGGGGAAAAGACTGGTGTACGGTAGTTTGCTTCCAGGAAAAACTCCTGCTGATGTGATGTTCAGTCTGCCAGAAAAAAAAGACTACCGTAGCTTTCTCTTTGATCATTTCTATGGTAGGGAATTAAAATATGATGCAGCTCAGAGAAAGTTGCACGAACAGTTTCTGTTGTGCATACGGTTCTTGCATATGTAGCTACTGTGCCCCTCCTAATGATGTTTTGATTTTGGTATCTGGCATTAAATCAGAGAGACAAGGGTGTAGTTTGGCAGCCATTATTGTTATTGTTGTTATTGTTAAGAGTGTATTCCTTTGGCAGTGATCTGCAAGAAATTATGCAGCAATGTGGATTGGGGATTAAGCAAGCAAAGGGGAGGGCCAGATCCAGAAGTAGGTTTTCAACACCCCCATTTTTCCCTCTCCCTTTGGCATCAAGGTCTCTCCCACCTCTTCTGCTTTCTCCTTTGCCAGGCAATAAAATTGGGTGGGTTGCTCTTGCCAGAGTCTGACCTGCATGCTTGCAATGAACTTTGAAATTTCCATGTGGTCCTAGTGTAGCATGCTGCCCATCACCAGGCAAATGCTGCCCATAACATTTGTGAATTTGATTGGAAACAGCACCCCCTTTCTGCCAATTGACATGCCTCAGGCTGTCCTGGAAGATTTGGGTGATTCCTTTTTTAAAAAGAAGACTAACAGAGACCACACAGAGAACATTTCTAACTCTTTCCTGTTCCCCAAAACTACCTGTCTTGATTTTTGTGATGAAATTTGTTCTTTGCATTAATGAAGTACCAGGTGTGTGTGTCTGCTTGTGTTATTCTGCATTCATTTGGGATTGAGCTGCAGAATTTGATAAGTAGACTTGCTGATGGAACTTGCTAACTGGTTTACACATTACATGATAGTGCAGGTTGTGGATCACTGTATTGCAGAAAGCCAGCTGTTATTTTAATCATATTGTATTAGCCATGCAATCTTATTATTAGCATACCTAATAATCCTTTTAAAAATATTGTAATCTGTTTTTTCTTAATTTGGATATACCATATTGTGTGAACTCCATAACTATCAGGTCTAGACTCTGAAAATCTGGGCAACTGCAAGATGACAGCAAAAAGATATAGAAAAAATATAGAAAAGTGCCACTCTTTGCTGCTATCTAGTGGTTTCCTAGGTTTCTGCAGCCCAGATGTGTTAACCCTAGTGAACTCAGCCTCTGTGTTTTGTTCAAAGTTACATTTGCACTTGGTTGTGATGGGAAAAGCAGAAGACTGGTGAATCTGTTTTAGCAGTGAGGATTTATGGTTTGTGACTGCTCTTTTCCAGCCTGAACTGGGAATCTATTGCTTCTGTGTGAAAAGGATCATCTCTAGCACCCAGTTCCTGCAAGTTTTACCATTTTGCAGTTCAAGCAGGTTGTATGCAGTGGTGATTGAATTTGGTGTGACATTGTAATCTTTTCTTCTCTTGGAATAGTTTTGAAATCTGGTTCACTTTACAAGGGGAGGTGGGAACAAATGCTCCTACCATGTCCTCAATTCTGTCACTTGAACGTGGGAAATAAAAGGGATTTCCCTTGCAGTCAGGGGCTCCTGCCAAACTATTGTATAAATGTACCTGAACAATGACAGATAAATTGTTGCTGGGGAGATATTATAAGCATGAGGAATAATGCCACCAGTGCCTTCACAAGGAGAGTATGTGTACTTTCCTCTTTCTCTTTGGATTGCACCTTCTGCAGCTCTTACAGACTCATACCTGCCTCCAGGCAAGATTGCCATTCCTCCTCCTTAACAGACTTCTCCTTGCGGGAATATGCTGAAAGTATCTGATTAAAATTTGCAGGTTTTAGACTTTCCTTCTAAGAAAGCTCCTAATCGTGCGGTTTCCTTCTTGGAGAATCTCACTTTTAACCCTTTGGTGCTGCCTGCTTCTCCCCAGCACAAGGCTGAGGCAGTGGGGGCTGTTGCCATAAAGCTCATTTTATGTTTATGCTAACACCTCAGTGTTTCCTCAAATTCAGTAGATTACAGAAAAATTTCTGGGTTGCAAGTAAGGGATTCTGACATTGTACACAACTTAGATTGTTCCCCATTGCCAAAACAACAAATGGGAGTAACATAATGTACACTGATATAAACCCTACTTAAATATAGATCTTTGGTTTTCAAAACTGCCTGTTTCTTTAAGCAGTCACCCAGGAATGCATCCATTGAATGAGGTGATTTAAAAACAAAATAAAGCATTTGTTTACAACTTCTGGAAAGCTCTTAAATGTCAGTTTTTGGATTTTACATTTCTAGATGAATTATGCAGTGCTTTTTTTCTAAAAAAAAAAAAAAAAAAAAAAAGGTGCCGGAACTCACACACGTCACACAACCCGCCTTGCCTACCTTACAAGGTTCCATCCAAAAAAGGTGTCGGAACTCCGTTCTGGGCGTTCTATGACAAAAAAAGCTCTGGAATTATGTAACATTTGTAGTTTAGGATTTTAATTTGGAAGAACTGTTAGATTAAAAATGTGGGCAGCGTGGTGGCCTAGAAGTGGAGTTCTTACCTCACAATCAGGAGACTTTGCTCCTAGGTAGTGGCAGATATTTCTCTCTGGGCGCAATGAGTAACTGTCTGCTGCAGACTCCCTGTAGGCGTCAGGAAGGCATCCGGCCAGTAAGTGCTCAACTCTATTCAGTCATCCTGACTCCACCCCAATGCAAGGGATTACAGTATCATTAAAGGAAAAAAAATAGATTAAAAATGTGACCCAATTTTGAAAGTTTACTTAAAACTAAGATTCATAGTTTTAGGTAATCTATACTGTTAAGGATGCTCTCCAGATGTTTTAGAGTTCAGCCCTCATTATTAGCTAATAGAATTTTGTAGAGGATTGTAGGAGTGTAAATTGGTGTCATTAATTTAGAATCTGTTGAAGTTCTCCTAACTTGTTTCAGAAGAATTAGATGGCAACCATCCTATCTTTTGGGATCAGTCCTGCTGCAACTCTGTGGGGAACAGAGTGGGTTGAGGCATTTCTGGTATGCAATAGCTAATGTTGCCCACTTACCCATCCAGTCATCCATATCTTGCAGGTAGGCTTGCCAGAAACAATATGTTGTGTACTGAGAGTGTTGAGTCTGGAAATGGAATGGGAACCAAGAAGAAAACTTGCCCAAGCCCCATTTTTTCTTAATCTGCTCCCCATTTCTGTCATTTACTATTCAGGAGAGCCTACCCAAGCACCAAGACAAGGTAAACATGACTACAACTCCTCAAATGTCAAGAGGATTTTTAAAGAAAACGTTTACCCCCTCCCTCACATATAAATAGGTAGTATATCCAAGAGAGAAATTCTAACTTGTTTTCCTAGTTCTGTTTTTGAAGTGGATAAGTAAAAATATTGTTTCAAACCATATTGCTAAATCATAAGCAGGATCTGAATCTCAGTCAGAGGGTAACAACTATTGTATATATAAGCAGCCTTTAAAGTTATAGTTGTTGTAACTACTTTTAAAACATTCAGCCTGTGATTTCACCCAGTTCTTACTTGTCAAAGCAATACTACAATGAAGGCGGAATATCTACCAGGCAGAATTGAAGCAACCTGATTGCACAGATGAAATCAATAAATAGAACTAGCTGCTCAGGGCTAACAGATACTTTCAACTGATTAGAATAATTTGCAGTGTTCCTTTTTGTTGTTACCAACTTGCTTTTTGCAGGCCACCTTGCTCTCTGAATTAAAAACAACTAGTATAGGTAATTCTCAATTTACAACTGATTGCTCAGTGACTCTTCAAAGTTATAATAAACTCCAAAAAGTATTACAACCCAGTTCTGAAGGTCCAGAAGCTACCCCTAGTTAAATGATTGCAATTTATGACATTTTTGCCAAAACCCAGCATTTGCTTCTCGTTTTTTTGGCAAAAACACCCCCTAGTGAGCAATGGGCTCATTTAACAATCACGGTGATTCACTTAATGACCACTGCAAAAAGGTCATAAAATTAGATTGGTCAACCTAGGGTACCTGCTTTATGCCCATCATTACTTATGACTGTAATGGGCAGTGATAAGTAAAAGACTACCTATATTTCATATCCAGATTGTAAAACCTTATCCTGAATTCCCTCAGTTAGCCCTTTCAGATGTGTTCCAACCAACTGGCTATAAATTTCTGGAGTTTTAATTCCTGGATATCCGAGGGTCCAATTTGGGAAAAGGCAGTTCTGGTCCAAGTATGAAAGAGAGTTGGGTGAGATGGACTGAATGAAACCTATATATACAAATTAAAACATGGAGCTCAAATTTCAGCTAAATTCTGGAGGGAACAGGTGGCTTACTGGGTACAGAATCTGATGCCCCCAGAATCACAAACAACCCCTCTCTTTTAGAGCCTGCCACTTATACTGTTAATGGGTCAGAATAGGAAACTTCTAGGAAAAAAGGGTCTCTGTCATTTATCCTTGCTTGCATGGTTTTTGTACTGTACCATTTTTGTTTCATTTGGGGCAATGATCTGGTGGTTGCAACTTGGATTTTTCTCAGGTTATTAATATCTAAAATATAATGTAACATGCCAATTTGACAGGAATAATTCTTGGAATTTCAGTTTGGCAAAGTGCTGTCAGAGGGGAAGAATTTAAAAGAAGGCAGACTGTGTATCGAAGATCTACCTGCTTTGCTGTCTGCATATTGCTCTTTGTCTCTTCTTTCTCGGCTTGGTTAATTTCTTAATTTCCTAAACAAATGCTATGGTTCAGACCAGCTTGGAAATTGCACATTGAGAACAAACTAAAATGTTCTCACTCCTTTAAACTCCGATACATATCGTTGTGATTGATGTGTGTGAGTCAGGCATTTCACACATGTCCTGAAATCAATGCTTTTTTGTAATTTCCAGTAGTGAGCTCTAGATTCAGGTGAATTCCAGGCTTCTTATAATCAGGAGCCCATAAGCTTTTTTGCAGGCTAAGGTCCCATGTTTTGTCTTTAAGTACGCTCAGTTCAGAAAGAAGTGGGAAGAGCCAGAATAAAACTGAGTTTGAGTTCCTTTACATTTCTTTACCATTAAATCTGGTTAATAGGATGACTCCTGCTAGGTACTTAATAATTTCTGTCTTCTGTTACCTTAATTAGATTATACCAGATCTCTGGGATACTTGCCCAGAGTTTTTAGAGGCCACATACAGCCCAGGAACCTCATGTTTGCTCCTCTGCTATAGATTATACATGCCCAATGGAGGGTTGTACTGTAAGCATTTCTTTTTCAACAGGCTGAATTCTAAGTGCAACTTTCTGTTTACACAGCAGTGGCTTGCTGAGTTCTGAAAAAACCATTCCTGAGCTTTGGGGCTAGCGCTTCCTGTCAGTGCTGTCCCATGGGACATGCGTGGGTATTGGTTTTGCTTGTCTACTCTGTTCCTAAACTGTCTTTTGACACAAAGCACTCCCTAATTGATGCAAAACACAGAAATCTCTTTCTTTCTCGATTCTTTCATTGCAAAAGCTCAGTGCTGCATGTCTACACAAGGGAACTTTCTTCTCTTCCTCTTCACTACTTTAAAACTGCAAAAAAACCTATTTTAATTGAAATACATTCCTGGCTTGAACCCATGTGTGGATGCAATTAGAGAGCAGGACTTTCTTGGGGTAAGATCTGTTTCTAGGTGGGCTTGATTCCAGGCAAAATAGTTTCAGAAGTCCGACATGCTGAGGACTCCTGTTTAATTATATAGTGATAAGGCTGTAGACTTTTCCAAAGCAAACTGCAGACCTACTGAAAACGCCTGACCTCAGTGCCATGAAGGATGTGTAGCCCCACATTCATTTGGGCTATCTTAGGCGAATGTTGGCTGGTATATTCATTTGAAGTACAGAACTTCATGTTGCAGGAATGTTGTGCCTAGTTTTTCTTGGCCTCTCAGGTACTGTGGGCTTTGGCCGTAGTTGGCATCTAGGAACCATAAAGTAAAAATGTATGTGTGGAATACTTGTGTGTCTGGTTTTCCTTATAAAGGCTCTGTTTCCTTAGGATGGCTTGAATGTTGTGCTTGAGAAGTGTGAAGCCAAACTGGCAAACTGTGGTCCGCAAGCCCTTTATTGTAGCTCTCAGCACCTGCCATGGCTGCTGTTGTTGAACATCAAGAGAGGTGGTTTTAGCTAATCTGGTGACGGAAATGCAAAAAAATTGTAGTTTACATTCTAACTAGGCTTTCCATGAATGCCCCAAATCTAAAGAAAAATCCAAATGTCCTGGCCTCACCAAATAGATGACATGATCCTTCCCACTTTGCAGTATTGTCCTGCCAGACTGAGACCTCTGTGCTTCCCCCCCTTTAGTAAAGTGTGACCCTTGGCCAGCCCTGGGATAGAGGTGCTTGAGACTCATTTACAGGCTACACTATAATTCATGCTATCAAATCCCCATCTTATAATAATAATTATTAATGATAATGAATGTCCTTCTTTATTGATCGCAGTGTGTCCGTGATGGCGAGTGTGCTGTCCAGGAGGCTGGGGAAGCGGTCCCTGTTGGGCGCCCGCATTTCTGCACCCCCTTTGCTGGGGGATGGGATGCTTATGACAACTCAAGTTCATCCCCTGCAGCCGGAACACAACAGAGCATCCTCACATCAGAGCACTCTTTCATATGAGGATGGCCACTTCAAGGAACATGCTGAAGACTCTGGCAATCAGAACCAAAATTGGCCAGTGCTGCAACTTGGCCAGAAGGTACTGAATTTTGTGGTGATGACTATAAACCAGCTTTCATCTCAAAAATGTTGGTATTAATGCTGTAAATAACAAGCCATACGGGTTTCTTTAGTCAGCAAGCAAGCAGGAAAATAGTTTTCTTTTTAAAAAAAAATTATAAAAAAGTAAAATGCCTAAGGAAACTGAAAAAATGGGTTGAGGCAGAAAAATTTTTCAGGAGCTGAAGTTAATGAACTGGCTTCAAGGGCAACAGCCGTACAACAAATCAGTCGGTGTTATGGACTTTTGTTGAGCTAATATTTATAGAAGTATCTGCAAATATAAAAAAAATCAGTTTTTTTTGAGGGGAAGGAAACTATGTTATTTTTGTACTAACAAACATTTCATGGCAGAGTTCACAGTTTATTTGAACTGCCACAAGATGCCCTTCCTGACCTGTAAATGGCTTATTCCCATCACCTCACTTTGGCCATACTGGCTGAGGTGAGGTGAATTACAGGTAGATATATCTAAAGAAAGTAAATCACATCTGGCTGTCCTAAGCCAATGATGTCAAAAGTTGAGTTAGTCTTTATTTCCAGTCTTCCTATGTCACTTGCTCACAGCCAATGTATTATAGGCAGTTAAAAGCACCAGATTAGAATCCGGGAGACCGTGAGTTCTGGTCCTGCCTTAGACGTAAAGGCAGTTGAATGACCTTGGGCCAGTCTCTCTCTCTCAGACCTAGGAAGAAGAAAGCAATGGCAAACCCTTTCTAAAAATGTTGCTGAGGAAACTGCAAGGATTTGTCCAAGCAGTTGCCAGGAATCAAGACTAAATTGAAGGCACAAAAGAATAAATAAATATAAATTATCTCCATTCTCTTGTCAGCATATAAAATATTTAAAATGCCTTTAAAATACCTTCCTAAAACATATAAAGAAATGTAACAATGGCAACGCGTAGTTCCTACTTGCACTATTATGAATACTCAAGCATGGAGATGAATTGAAATATTTTTTTGGCTTGTGACTAAATTATAACAATGCACTCTTTATTTCCAGAGGGAGGGTATTTAAAGAATGAGTGCAACAACAGATGAGACCCTCTTCCCGATTGATACCCCATTTATAGATCTGATATGTTACTATGTAGAAATAGTGGACAGCGATTTTGCACTTTTGTAAATGAACCAAGTGGAACAGACTATTCTTACGATGCTTTATTCATTCGATATCCCAAAAAATAAAGGGTAAGTTTTAGTGTCATGTGTCACTGGGGTTTTAATGTGCTCTAAAATTGCAGATTTAGCTGCACTTGGTAGAATTTCCAACAGACTTCCATATGGTAGATTTAAGAGCTTGATTTCATATCGAGTCATTTTGCATTGTCTCCTTCGCTATGCAAAGTGATGCATGTGATATTTGAAAAAAAAAGAGGGGGGTTACTTAAAATGTGGCATGTTATCTCCTTCCCTTGGGGCTAATTTCCTGTTCTCTTTGTTAAATGTCAAGGACAGGTTGCTTTTCCAAATGGAAAATACTGACTGGCAATGATGGGCACCATGCCCAGCATTTCTGGAAGGTCCAGCTTGGGGAAGGTTGGGTTAAAAAAGTGTGAAATTAAGGTGGCATTAGGGGAAGACAACACAGAGAGAAACATTGGGTGGCATTGCGGAAGAAGAGGAAATGTGAAGTAATCCTATTGTGAATTTCTATAAAAATAATTCTGGTTCCAAAGTCTTTTGCTGGAGTTAGTGGACTATAAAAAGAATGCATTCAAAACCACTCATCCACAGACTCAGCATGACCAGTGCCTAAAAGTATTTGGGAGCTTTATGAAAAAAAATATACCCTCAAAAGCTAACCAAATGAAAATAGTCCTTCTCCTCAGCTTGTAAATGCCAGCATTGTTTTGCTTAGGTGAGTTGCTATTTAGGGCTGAGGGACACTGTTTTGGGGGGTTGCATTTAATGGTCGGCTTGCTAGGAACTGCCCTCCAGAAGGAGGCAGGTGTAAGGTGCAAAAATTAATGCATATTTATTAGTTTGAGTGTATTAGAATAGAATAGAATAGAATAGAATAGAATAGAATAGAATAGAATAGAATAGAATAGAATAGAAGCTGGAAGGGACCTTGGAGGTCTTCTAGTCCAGCCCCCTGCTCAAGCAGGAGAACCTATACCATCTCAGACAAGTGTCCAGTCTTTTCTGAAAAACCTCCAGTGATGGAGCACCCACGAATTCTGAAGACAAGCTGTTAATACACATTATATATATATATATGAAACAAAAAACAACGCAGAATGGAGGCAGCGGGAGAGGACAACCAAAGGCATCCAGGAATATCACGGCGCCTGCCCGGAAAAGCAGCAGCTGTGGCAACAGCTGCAACACAGAATGGGGGCCTTGCACGTGAAGGCCCAAGGACCACCTTCTCCCTACGGGACAGGCCCAAGCACCCTGCGCCCAAGCCCTCCCTTCCCTCCGTCCTTCCTCTCTTACTTAACTAAATACATTATTGATTGCTCCCTAGACATGTATCCTGTCATATTAAAAATAAAGCTGAAGACAATTTGGAGGGGCTCTGGGAGTCTAAGGCTTTGGGGGTATATATAGCCTGATCCAGAAGGTGCCACAACAGCTTTCAGGATGGTGTGGGTAGATTCTGCAAAGTCCCAGCTGCGTGTCACCCAAGGCTAAGCAAAGCAAACAGTTCAACCAACCAGCAAACTTTGGCTGAAATATGACCTCCCCTTGGGAGTTCTACCACTGGAATTGTTCCCGCTCCTTCTGCAGGTGGGTGGTGTTCTGTAGCAGCCTTGTTGTTTACAATGGGTATCTGGTGTTCTCTGTATCTGTTGATCACATTGTAACTAGTTCTTAACCTACGACTACAATTGGTACCGGAATTTCCATTGCTAAGCAAGGCTCTTATTAAGTGAGTTGGGCCCAATTTTACAACCTTTTTTGCCACGATTGTTAAGTGAATTGCTTAGCAATGAAGTATTTCATTGTTGTTAAGTGAATCATGCCATCATTTAGTGACTCCAGCTTCCACCATTTACTTACGGAGAGTCCTCGACTTAACAACAGTTCATTTATGACAGTTCAAAGTTACAACAAAACTGAAAAAAGTGACATATGATCGTTTTTCACACAACTGTTGCAGCATCCCCATGATCACATAATCAAAATTCAGACACTTGGCAACTGATGGGTATATATGATGATTGCAGCATCCCAGGGTCACGTGATCCCCCTTTGTGACCTTCTGACAAGGAAAGTCAATGGGGAAGCCAGATTCACTTAACAGCCGTGTTACTAACTTAACAACTGCAGTGATTCACTTAACAAATGTGGGAGGAAAAGTTCTAAAATGGGGCAAAATTCACTTAATAAATGTCTCATTTAGCAACAGAAATTTGGCGCTCCATTGTGGTTGTAAGTCAAGGACTACCTGTAGTTTGAAGCCAACTGGGAAGGTTGCAAATGGTGAGCATATGACTTTGGGGTGCTGCAGCTGTTGTAAATAGATGCCAGTTGCCAAGAACCCCAAATTTTGATCATGTTACTGTGGGGATGCTGTGATGGTTGTACAACAAGTCTGAGGATTGGTCATAAATCACTTTTTTCAGTGTCCTTGTAATTTTGAATGCTAAATGAACAGGTGTTAGTCGAGAACTACCTGCATAAGTTCCTTTTCCTTTCAGAGGCTTGAAATCATAGTTTTTCTTCCACTTTACCTTCACTGTGTTTCTCCCATTAGGGAGACTAATAACCCTAGGCTGGCCCAATTGAAAGAATTGGGATTTAAATTCAGGAAGTCTTGATCCAAAAGCCAGTGCTATGGTGCACTTACCCTGGCTCAGCCATCACACTAAACCACAATACAGTGTGTTTGATTTTGGGGTAGCACATTTATATAATCCCAGTTAGTGTGCACTTTATTCAAACTATGGCTTGATATATTGTGTGAATTCAAATCTTTTCATCTGACAGAATTCCTGTCCCAGGTTTTTCAGTTTGGTGTGATTTTGTTCATTGCACTGGCTTAGTCTCTCCACCTACCCCCCTCAAGGTTATGTTGTGATGGATTGTCCTGCTTTACATTTTAGCAAGAGCAATAGTATTTAGACTTATATACCAGGAGCCCTGGTGGCAAAGTGGTTAGAATGCGATATTGCAGGCACAATCTGGAATTCTATCTTGACCGGCTCAAAGTTGACTCAGCCTTCCATCCTTCCCAGGTAGGTAAAAAGAAGACCCAGATTATTAGGGGCAATATGCTGAGTTTATAAACTGCTCAGAGAATGCTATGGAGTGGTGTTTAATAAGTCTAATTGCTATTGCTATACCACCCCTTAGTACTGTACAACATTCTCTGGGTTTACAGCGTCAGCATTATTTTCATATTGCCCCCAACAATCCAGGTCCTCATTTTACTGATCTAAGAAGGATGAAAGGTTGAGTCATCCTTGAGCCCTGTCAGAATCAAACAACAGACTGTGGACAGAGTTTGCCTGAAGTACTGCACTTAACCACTGCGCCACGAGGGCTCATGTGGAGCCTCATGTTTTTGAAAATGGATGGAGGATGAACATTAACCTAGTCATGAATACATTTTCATTGCATTAGATCTAACTGCAGCATTTTAACCTGCATACATACAGTGCTCTCCATCCTCTCTCATCTTAATTGATGTCCAATCCTAAAATGAATTAGGACAGGGGTGTGCAACTATGGCAACTTTACAATCTCTGGATTTCAATTCCCAGGAGCCAGTCAGCCATGGCTGACTCAGGAATTCTGGGAGTTGAAGTACACAGGTCGTAAAGTTGCCATAGTTGCCCACCTCTGAATTAGGAAGTATGTGGGCAAACTCCCTCCCTTCCTGCACACACAGCCAGAGACATCCACAGAAACATAGAGCAAAAAGAAGCAGAGGCAGAGTAGTGATTCTGGAAAGATGTCAAGAGCCCTACTGGACCCTATATTGGGCTGCATGAGGCTACCACAGATCCTGTTACTCTACTTTTTCAGAACAGTGGGGTCACTGCAGCTTCCCCAGTTTTTCCATATAGTAATTAGGATCCCTCTATAAATAACACCCCCAGGAATAACTAACTCAAAGAGTGCCCCTCTGAGCCTAGATAAAATTACTTACTAAAATAGACTTTAGGAAGTTAAGCAGCAGAGGGGAAAGACCTTTGGAGAAACTAAATACCATCCTTCCATGAACTACCCAAGCACAGGCTGGTCATTCTCTTTCTGGCTCTCCTTTCCTGCGCTGTCTTACTAGATTGCATGTGCTTTTGTATGAGCAAAGGAATGGTTGGAGAGATTTCATGAGTTTCTGCTTATTCACCTATTCTGACACTCTTTGAGAGATTTGACAAAACGTGATGGAAAGTCAGCTGATAATCACAGTGTGTTCCTTTCACTTAGAAGTTGAACTGAAGCGCAAAATACATCACATGCTGGTCATGTAGATATGACTGTGGCTGCAGAGCACACAGAGCACAGTGAAAGAAAGCTGCTTCTTTCATGTTGTTCAGGAAATGCATTTTTGAAGCCCTCCCATTATAAGGCATCGAAACTCTGAATTTCTTTCAGATCAAAATGACATTTAATGGAGCATCTTCTCTTTAATGATGGTCAGCCATTTGCTTTACAACAGCCCCTCCCCCCAAATCTTTTGGGCATCGGACCAGTTTTGTGGAGAGATGTTTTTCCACAGACAGGAGGGGACGTTTCATGTGCTGCCTGCATCCCACAGATGGGGCTTTTCTTGTTTGCGTGGCTCAGTTTCTGGCATGCTATGGACCAGTGCCGGGGGTTGGGGATCCCTGCTTTACAAGATTGAGCAGCATAGCTACTCCTGTTCATTGCCTCTGAAGATAGGATGCCATTTGAACACTGGCTCATGGTTATTGGTAGGTTTGGTTTATATGGCTTTGGATTGCTTATTTATGATAGGAAAAAATGGAAACAAGGACAACAAAACAGGTTAATTCATTTGGAGACCAGAATGACCATTATGATTGATAGTGGCTTTTCTTCCTACAGGTGTATGTCTTTTACAACGGGCAAGAGAGTGCTGGGCTGGTGGAATACCATGACCTGGTCAGTCACGAAGTAAAGGTGTTGCTCCCAGAAAAAGGGTTTTATGTCACTAGAAAAACTGAGGAAGTGAGACTGGCTGAAGTTGAGATGTCACCTCTTCCCAAACTGGAGATGGACCAAGGAACCCCTACAACAATGGATTATAATCCGGTTCCTGTGGTGATGAAGCATTGCACATCTGCAGCAGACATTGCTGTGACATCTAGTTTGAGATCGGTTTCTAGGAATATTGATGTACCAAAAAGGTGGGTGATTTAAAATTTGTCTATAGTTATGCAATATTGCATAACATTTCCATAATAACTTAGAGATTTTTTTTCCCTTGGCTGAATCAAAATGTGGAAAGCAGTTTTACCTCCTGCTGTTTTCTTTCCCTTTCATTTTATTAGGTTGAAAGCACAAAGGCAAATACAGCTTTGTTTGCACTCGATCTTACATAACCTACTCTAGGAGCCTTTTCAGCTGAAGGGTGGTAGATGGGAGGATTTATAATATTTTAAACAAATGAGCAAATAATTTGAAGCCACAAACTAAAATAACATATCTTGACTAAGATGCCTTGGTGATAGTAGTTCATACCATGATCCACCCATTAGACTAGTGTAAACATGTTCCGTGAAGGGTTGTCTTTGGACATAACCCAGTAGCTGGACAGGGTGTAAATTACAACAGCAAGGTTGTTGTTAGGACAATTCCACCAGGGTAGGGATCTTGCCTATTTTGAAGTAACTATATTGGTTATTAGTAAGTTTTGGGGCCCAATTCATTGTGCTGGCCATTACTTTTAAAGCCCTTTACTGGTCAATATTGAGTTATAACCAGCAGTGCATTGCCAAAATAAAATTTGCCTCTTAGGTAGGATCACCTAAATTGAATCCTTTTTCCATGCAAGGTTCCGAAGGTGTGGGCTATATGATAGACCTCTTTATGGAGCAAGTTACTCGTGGAAGGATAGAGAGCTTCATTCCTTTTTGCTTTATAGAAGCAAGTTTAAGTTGTATTATGTTTTGTGCAGGGCTTTTGCCTCTTAGTTATGTTTGAGCATCCATTATAAGTGGTATCATTGTTATTATTATGGTTTGGTTTTAATGATTGTATTTTAGAACTTCATTTGCTTCCTAGCATCTGTAGAGACTGAGGCAGCCTATAAAAACTGTAATAAAGTAAGTAAACAAATAAATCTTAAACCTTTCAAAATGAACTAAGAAAAAGAATGAGACAATAATGCCAATAGAATTGATCTAAAAGCTTAGCCTGCTACTGTCCAATTGAAACAATCATATTACATTTAGTTGTTAAAAGTAAGAGAAAAGAAAACGTTACTTCCCTGGTAGCTGCTGCCCATTACCGTATCTAGTACTAAAATTGAAAAGTTGCTTCTATATGTTTTGCTTTTCCAGTGTTTTAGGCGACTACTACAATTTATTTTTCACCCCAGTGGGTAAAGTTAGATCTCTTCTGCCTGCACAACTACATTGAGGCCCTGCCCCTCCAAACCTATAGCAGGTACCTTATAAATAAGAAATCCCAAATACTTTTCTGATCTGCTTGTTTCTAAAATTAACAGCGGAAGCTTTTCCTACTGACTTCAAGAGATATGCATTTATGACTAGCAGGGAAGGGGTGGGGTTGTTCATGTTAAAAACTCCTTTTAGAAAAATCTTCATTCTGGAGACAGGAGCGCTTTCCTGAGTCTAAATTTTGTACAGATCTAGAAGAAAAGACCTGGATTCACTTTGTGGCTGTGAGTGGCTTGTTAAAAGTTGTGACTTCAATCATAATGCTTCACTGTTTGCATTTTAACAATTAACTTGTGCCCGAGGAAGAAAGTGTTGCAAGAAAACAAATGCAAGAGGCATGAAGCACTTGAGATGGAATTGTCTGGTGAGCAATGCCTTTGCTAGGGTAGTTGGTATGTTGATTCTTTTTGGAGGAACCATCTTATCCTTCCCCCTCCTTCTCTCATTGCAGGAAACCAGATGCTGCAGTGGAGATGGATGAGATGATGGCAGCAATGGTGTTAACCAGCTTATCCTGTAGCCCTGTGGTGCAGAGTCCCCCTAACAATGAAGCCAGCATCTCAGGTAAGTTTGACAGCAAAAGGCCTCTGAAGGCCATTTGGCATTCTGTGCCCCCCTTCAAAAAAAAGCTGTTGTGATGCATAGCTCATGCAATGCAAGCTCTGGGGCCACGGTGGCTTAGCTGTATAAGCCCAAATGGATGTTCTCCTGTTGTTGGAATGCAAGTTCCAGGATTCTGCCATGCTGGCTGCTGATTCTGGATATGTCAGTGCCAACACATTTGGAGAATGCCAAGCTGGGAATGATTATTTGGAACACTGGCATTCCAGTATCTGCTTTTTCCTGAATATACATACCTGAGAATTTAGGCTATCCACAGAAGTATGCCTTTCGTTTTTTTTGAGGCAACAATGTGCATAGGGCAGTTTTCAGCTTACATCAGAAAACTTTCTGATTAAAAAATAATGCAAATGAATCTGATTAAGAAAATTTCCACTAATTGTAGACTTGGGATATGAAATTTCCACACTGTAACAATGATTGCAGAGAAAAACTCTTCCTGTGGTAATGCTGATATTATGGAATAGAGTCCCTTTTGTTGTTTTTTTAAGAAGTTAAGAAATCTTCTGGATTTCAATTGGAAGTATTTTAATTCTGAAGTTTCTGTTGAAGAGCCTTTGTGGGGGTGGGGCTCTTTTTCTTTTTTGAAGAGCCTTTTATTTACTTGTTGGCCACTTTTAATTGTTTGGCCACTTTGTAACTCAATTTTGGAAGTTGTGTAAAAAGAGAAAATGGGATAAATAAAGGGAGTAGAATAGCATTAAGTGCCTTGGCCAACACACAGACTGTTTAGTTCAGCTTTCAGGGAGATCCAACTTTTCTGCTTTACTTCTTTGGTCTTTTGGGCTTCTTGGCTACCTGCCTCAAATCTGTGTATCTAAAGCATTCATTTATTTCTAACTTTCTTCCTGTTAAATGGCTCACGTATCTCTCTCTTATGTCCTTAACAAGCTTTTCTCAAAAGTAGGCCATACCCAATTAGAGATCCAGAATTTTATTCCAGCTGTGAAGTTTAAGAATAATGTGTCCATCATAGTAAACCAAACCCCCTTCTGGGTTCTACTAGATTTTCCTTCCAGGCTCTTCTCTGTTTACCATGATTTTGCTAAACCCTTTTTGCCTGGCATTCTGGCACTCTTATGTACATAGCATTCCACATGTTTCCGAACCCTTGAAAATCTGCCCCAACATATCCTGACATAAAGTGAGTCTGTTATTATTGTCTGATGAACTGTTTAAGAATTGCAGAATGGGGATAAGGAAAGATGGTCTGTAGGGCACTTTTGCAGTTATTGTTCCTTTTGATGACGTATGTCTGAGCAAGTTTCCCCAGAGATTGGCCCATGTTACTGACACCTCCTTAATGTTCACTAGCCTCTGCTACAAAACACATTGTCTCCTAAGAAAATGAGAAAGGGATTATTATTATTATTTTTATTAGCTTTCTCTTGCTTCCAGTACAGGAAAATGCTGACTTGAGGACATTTTCTGTGAGAACAGACTGAACAAACTTGGGATGCTCAATCTAAAGAGTAGAAGACTTAGGGGAGGCATAATAATCAAGTTCGGATATATAAAAGGAAGATGATCATGAATGCTTCTCCATGGCTGCAGAAACCTAGGCCACAACTAATGTATATTAGTTGTAGCTATCTAGATTTCAGTTAAATATAAGGAAACATTTGATGGTAAAATCTATATAACAGGAAAGTAGCCCAAAGGTGGTAGTGGTCATTTCTTCACCTCTGGAGAATTTTAAGATGTTGGATAGCTACCTCCCAGTTTAATTGATTTTCGTGCACATTCAGACCTTCTGGCTGGGAAATTCTGGGCATTGAAGCTCACCTGCATATCTTAAAGTTGCTCAGTTTGAGAAACAGTTTACTAGATGACCCTTGTGGTCTTTTCAACTCTATGATTCTTTTATTCTCTTGAGTGGCTGTTTCCATTTGCCATATCCCTTACCTCTCAGCTCATATTTCTCCTAGAAAAGCCTGAAAGTAAGGATTTAATAGTGCTGTGATGTGTGAAAACCAGCACAATACTTGCGGGCTATGTAGAGAAAATATACCAGAATATTGATATGTCACTATGAAAGGAGGAAGTTGTAGTTTCCATAGGTAGGCCGCTGTTTGCACCTAGTTTGTAGCTTCACAAATCACCAGAAGAACGTGCACAGGTGGAGGCCAATTCACAGACTGTTGCGTGTGTATATACATGCTTGAATCTTTTCCCCCCATTCTTTAAACTTTTGTCCCTCTTTCTCTCTTTTTTAAATGAATTTCTGAATTCCCAGCTAGGACCCAGAAGTGGAGGCTGTAAACTCAGCATGTTATATGTCAGAGGGAGGAAGTCAATTGGTTGATATTTTCAGATTGATTGTGGTGGTATTCAGTGAGCTCAGCTTCTCTGGCTGGTCTGAATTGTGAGTTGCTGAAGATGCCTTCTTCTAGTTCGATTTGTTTGAATTCTCAGCCGAGCCTAATAAGATTAAATACTTGGCTTTTTGAATGCTACCACTTATCTTGGCAGGGTCCTCAAATGTAGGAATGGGATTGTGAGGATAGACTGATAGGTGGGAAAAGGGTACTGCCCCACCGCTCTTTCAGATCACCAATTCTCTTTAAATATCCTTTTGCCTACTAAATTTGATCCAAATTCAGTGTTTTTACCATCACATATTTACTCAAGCTATAATTACAAACTAGAAAAAAGATCATGGAGAACTTTTCTTGCAAATTTATGTATGAGAATCCTGTATGTAGAATCCCTTGAGACTGGCTGTTTGTGGCAAGCAGTAAAACCTTACCTATAATCCCTCCAGCAGACTCGACCATTGGAGAACTGTTAGAAAAACAGCTGGCTGGATTAGGAATGGTGTCTGCCTTCCCCAGTGGAGGGAGGGGTTGTGTAATCCAACCCCTGGCTGCCGTTTCCAGTTGGATGATCAGACCTATTACGGGAGTAATAGGCACCAAGAAGAGCCAGTGTCTTTATATGGAACCACTTCCCATAAGCCTCTTTGGACCTTCTGTGCGTTTATTTAAAAATAGGAGCCTTCCAGCGGTGGGAAATGCAGGTGCTTTGCAGTCAATTAGGCCTGTTGTATGTCTGCATGCTGGACTGGCAGTGAAGGTGTGAAAAAGGCTTCTGAAACTGAGAAGGGGGGGGGGACCTATCCTGTGGCTTTTCCTGTCATTCTCTTCCCGAGGAAGAGGAATTTTATAAATGAAAATATGAATTCATCCTTATTGAATTCAATCGGACTTTATCTCAGAAAATGTTTATAGGTGGCAGAATTTTGTAAACTTGTTCTGATTTGGAAGCTAAGCAGGGTTGGACCTGGTTAATTCTTTAAAGGGAGGCTGCCAGGAAACACCAGGAATATTGGCTAGATTGGAAAATCCACACAACAATCTGGAATAGCAATAGCACTTAGACATATACAATACACTACTTCACAGTGTTTTACAGCCCTCTAAACGGGTTACAGAATCAGCGTATATCCCAACGATCCTGGACCTCATTTTAATGACTTGGAAGGGATGGAAGGCTTAGTCAACCTTGGGCAGATCAGGATTGAGAGAATTAAACTGACAATGTGAGCAGAGTTAGCCTGCACTACTACATTCTAACCACTGTGCCACCACAGCTCTTTTTTTTTTTTTTAATTGAAAATTTTTAGATATTTTTACAAAAAGCAAAAAAAACAAAAAAAACAACCCTAACCCACCCACCCCAACCCTCCCTCTCCATCCCCCCCGATCTTCCCAGAGCTGAATATAGGCTTAATTAAAATTTTTAAGAATGTTAAAAAAATTGAAAAAATATAAATCATAAATATATCTAAATACCTTACATAAACAATTTATAAAGTAATTAACAATAAAATATATGTAAAAAAAGCATACGTATTAAAAGGAAAAAGTACTTGAAAGAAAAAGAGATAATAAAGAAAAAAAGAAAGAAGAAAAGAGATATAAAAAAAGTACAATCTATAAAATATTAAAATTTATATACAAGTTATTAGAAAGCTAAATGATATTTTTTTATATCCAATTTATATTGTATAAAATTTATCCATTTTTCCCATACCGCAAAGAATTTCTCTTGCGATTGCTCCTTTAAGAAAGCCGAAATCTTTGCCATTTCCGCCAAATAAGAAACTTTAAAAAACCACTCTTGCAAGGTAGGCAAAGATTCCTGTGCCACCACAGCTCTTGTTCTGAGGCCTTGGAAACTGTAGTGCCATGTCCATAAAGTCATCAGGAGTTAAGCTTTTTTACTTCTTAGGCACAATTATATTGCATTTTTGGATAAAGAGATAAGTTCAGTACAGGTGTTCCATTCAGATTGCACTAATCAAAATTTGTGCCTGGCTGTTTTTGGATTCTTAAATGTGCTTGGGTATTATACTTTCACACGTACAAGAACCAAGTTAGGCTTTGGAGCCGGATGTCTGTGTTTGCTTCTAGGATGGAATCTATTTGTCTTTATGTTATAGATAGAACTCATCAGTCTTCGTTCTTTAAAAAACAATTTTATGTGATTTCTTTCCTCTGCCCTACAGTTTGAAGTCTCCAGTCCTTGGTTCGTTACCTGTGTATGATTCACACTTAGAATAGTGTTACTTCTGGTTTGGGTCCATCGTGAGGAATGTATTTCTTTCTGGCTTGTTTTCCTAGCTGTATTGTGAAAATGTGATCAATAAAACTCAGTTGAGATTTAATCAGTTCATAGAATGCCTGGGAAGAAGAGTTGTAAAAGCAAGATATTCAGCATCAATAGAATTATTTTTTTTAAAAAAAGAACACCACAAAACACACCATTATATTTGATATAAAGGGGAACATGGGCCATTTTTTATATAGTCATAGAATCTAAGATTCATATAATGTGTCACATCCAAAGAAATAAAAAGTATCATGGCAAAATGTGATGTTCTAGTTTCACATAACATTTAAATTAATGGCTAGGTTTTAACACTTTGAACAACAAACTAAGCAGCCCTGCTTTAGCCTAATCTAGCAAGTTTTTAAAATCCATCTGAAATGGCCATTTCAGTAACTAAGTCCATCCTTCTGCTCAGTGCAAAAATCTAATTTAAAGCATCTTTGGTAGGCATTTATCCAGTTTCTGGATGATTACCTTTAAAGAAGAGGAGATTATCACCTCCCTTGGTAATCAGTTTCATTGTCAAACTGCTTTTTAAGGAAGTTTTTCCTAATATTCAAAAAAAAAGGTAGATTATTTAAAAATATATATCTTTTGTACAAAATCCCATTTGCATTCTATACTATAGAATAAGGCCACTATAAATGAAATACTAAGACAAAGCTATTAATAATCTGTGAGGTTCTTTCGACTCCCCTGTTCCCAGTTAATAAATTACAGAAAAGCAAATTTAGGTGATATTTTTTCAGTTTCTCACATTCCCTGCTCTTAGTAGCAAAATTTACAATATGAATATTTTTGTGTTTGTTTTAAAACCTCAAATATTAATAGTAAAAAGCAGACTACTGAATGAAAACATAGACTGTCCCATTTCTTCTATTTAGTACCACCTTCCTCCACCTGTGCCTCCCTGTCAGGGGTGAGGAACCATGGCCCTTTTACAACTTGTGGACTTCAACTCACAGAATTCCTGAGCCAGCATTCAACTTTCATGAATTCTGGGAGTTGGAAGTCCACAAGTCATAAAAGGCTATGCTTCCCCACCCATGCTCCATATAAAAATGATGAAAGTGTTAAACTGAATAGAGAATCAACTTAACTGCTCAAGAGCTCAGTAAAACAGTGATTCACCTGTTTATCCTCACATCTTGTCTTCAGCATCCCAAGCAATCTGTGATGCCTGGAAAGAGAGCGGTGACATGTCGGATGGTGGGAGCAGTACTACAAGCGGGCACTGGAGTGGCATTTCCACCCCTTCTCCCCCACACTCAGAGGCCAGCCCCAAGTACACAAACGAGGCCTTCAGTTCTCCTCGGGCTGATGATGGTTTTGAAACGGACTCGGATCCCTTTCTTTTTGAAGAGCCTGCTCCGAGGAAAAGGAAGGTACATAATGTGACCATAAGACGGGGAAGGAATTGTTCCTTAGAAGCTGCAGGTCTAAATATAGATTTCTTCCTATCATATCAAGAAAGAAAAATATCTATATAAGCCTGCTGTTCCAGAATGTAGTTTTTTACTATCAGAGCTCCATCATTACTGTTCCTATCTGCTCCATAAATTCATGTTTAATTATTTGTTAGGGTTTTTTGTATGCTAGCTTTCCTTCAGGATCTTATATTGCGTATGGCCCTCTCCCTTCCAGTTTTTCACTTCGACAACAGTCCTGTGGGTAGGTGGAACTCAGAGACAAGTAACTTCTATGACCGAGGTGGACCTGAATACGGGACCTCTCAAACCATGATACCATCCTAATTCTCATTTTTATTGGCAACTGTTTTTAACTCTGAATGACTAACAGTGAAAATGTATTAATTTTGATACGAATAGGCTCTGATGATTTCTTTTGCATGTCACTTTGATGTGTTTTTTAGAAAGTTGATATAAAACTGAGCCATCTTTTAGATTTTCTAAGAACTGTTAACTTCAACCAAAGGGATATGAATGAAGGGGAGGAATAAAGTGGTGCTGTCCCCAGTAATTAAGAATCCTGAGAGGTTACATTTTTCACAACTTATATATGGCCATGGCTTGACTTAGAGTTGTTTTTCTTCTAGAACTCAGTGAAAGTGATGTACAAATGCTTGTGGCCCAGCTGTGGCAAAGTCCTTCGCTCCATTGTTGGGATTAAGAGACACGTGAAGACTCAGCATCTGGGGTAAGGCCTTAAGTTGCAGTTAAGTCACATTTGCACAGTTATATTGGAAAGGATCAGCAGTAGACATAATTATGTTTCAAAACAGTAACTGGAGTGGGGAACGTTTGATGCCAAATCTGGACTTTTGGTGGGCTCCTTCCATGATGATCCTCATGAACTGGAGGGTGAAATCAGAGCCTAAGGAGGGACTTAAGTTGGATTTTGGTATGCTGCAGACAATGGCCCTTGTCCCTGCTGACCATGTAAAAGGAGGTGGCTGGAGGTCCCTTTTATTCCAGTTGAGGCTACTCCATGAGTTTATTGGTGTTTGCCGGTCACCCCATTATACTGCACCTTTCCTTTATGAGGCTGCAAAGATGATACGAGTAAATTACTGAATCAAGTTCAGGCTCTGGCTATAAAGTTCACTGTTTGGAAAGGCCCAGATCAGACATAGTTACTGATTTGTGGTTGGGCACATTTTCAATGTTGAAAGGAGGTAGCGATGCTTACAAAATGTTGACTGTGCACAGCTAGTCACAAAGCACTCATTTACTACAGGTCTGATGGTTGCAGGAGCTCCATGGTATCTCCTGTAGTTCCCAAGAAGGTGTGCTAGACTGTTTAGTTCTTTCTTTTTATGTGGGGTATTGGACACAATTCTAAACAAAATATGATGTATTAATTCACTCCTCATGATTGTCTGTGGGATTTTAAAATGCCAACTTCTCGGTTGAGTTAAAACTGAAGTGAAAAAAGCGAATTAAATCTAAAATGAAGTTAACACTCAACTCAGTTGAGTTAAAACTGAACATTTTAAGAAAGGAAAGGGGTAGGTGGGTTGGATGTAGAGAGATGCCACGTGAGTTGTTTGCAAGCATATTACCTGCCCTTGAGATAGTTGATTGTGTTCATCAGTTTCTAAATCATCTTCTCTGATGTGATGTGGTTATTGGGAACCCCTGGAAGAGAGCTCTTGTTCTGGTAGGCCAGGTGTCTTCAAACTTGACCCTTTTATGACTTATGGACTTCAACTCCCAGAATTCCTCAGCCAGCCCTTGGCTTGGCTGGCTGAGGAATTCTGGGAGTTGAAGACCACAAATCATAAAAGGGCCAAGTTTGAAGACACCTGCGGTAGGCAGTCATTTATTTCAAGCTGGACTCTTTTTTTTGTGAGTTGGAGAATATGATTGAGTCTGGATTTGAGCATTGCCAAGTATTTCTTTGGCTTCAATACAGTCCTGGCTAGAAATGACTGGACCGTGTTTGATATTTGCTATGTGGTTGTGGGGCCCTCTTGCGGGGAGAATTGGTTATATCTGTTCCATCTTTTTAAATATCTTCCTTTGCTTTCAGTGATCTTTAGTTCTGTTGAGTTTTGCTTCTTCAGTTCACTTTTCTGACTTGTTCTTTTAGCAGCTGAATTATTTTAATAGTGCATAATACCAGAGCACCTCAAATGTTAAATTCTTAATGAAGATAGATGAGAGTTTTGCAGCCCAAAGAGAAGGTCAGCATTCACCAGATAACTGTGCTGCTCCAAAAGTTTTTGCACTAAAAAGGGATCAAGTGTACCTGAAAAATTACTCCATCTTGTGTCTGTAGCAGCAGATAGACTTAGTTCTATATTCTTCCCTTTGCTAGTCTATGAACAGAATTGAAAGAAAGGATTTACTGGGATTCCATAAAATAGTGCTTGGTTCTGCTGAGAAGTGTAGAAGAATTTCAGAATTTGCCAGAAAATGTGTCTCCATCTCAATGGACAGAGGAGAATTGGCAGAGCTGATTAGAGATATTAGAGATGGTATTAACTTGACCACTTTGGGGTTGTAGATGTGAAAGTTCCTCAGATAAGATGTTCCTCTACTTTCACACTCTGGGACAAAAGCCCCAGATTGTTACAGCTTTGATAACAAAACAGTGGAAAACGTTACTTGGGAGTTATCTTATTTATTCCATATCTCCTTCTTTCATCTTCTATCAATGCCTGCAGAGATGGTGCCAACTCTGACCAGAGAAAACGGGAAGAGGATTTCTACTACACTGAGATGCAAGTGAAGGAGGAGGCACTTCTGGAATCTTCAGTAGTTGTTCCCAATCCCACTGCAGGTTCCTCTCCTATTGTCATCCAACAGGCTGCTTCTCAGCCAGGGGCTCTCATTCTGGATCGAGCAACCCCTCTGGAGCCTCATCTACCCAGCAGTGCCCTCAGCCAGTCGGCCCCCAGTTCTTTCTGGCACATCCAGGCTGACCATGCATACCAGGTAAGTTAGTGTCCACCTGCACCCTAATGTTAGGAATCTGTATTCCTCCTGAAGGTGTTCAGAATTCTTCTGTGGAATTGTTCACCCTAATAAATAAAACAGCCCCTCAGTTATGATTGGTACTTACAGTAAGTGGCAGGATTGCAGTTCTGAGAGTAGTGGTAGCAACATGGATGATTCGAATTTCAGATAAAGAATAAGGTAAATACAGTTACCTTTCTAAGTATTTGTATTCTTTCTCTGTTTGCTTATACTTCGGGGCAATGTAACACAGAATAATGCACAGTTAATGTGTTCATCCTATAGAGAACAGTAAAGGGATTAGGGATGGTTAGCCTAAAGAAAAAGGAGGCTAAGGGGAGACAGCAGTTTTTTCATACTTGAAAGCCTATCAGGGGGAAGTGGGCATGGATATATTTTCCAAAGTGCCTGAGGGCAGGGCAAGAACCAATGGAAGCCCTACAGGGAGAGATTCAACTTTGAAATAAGGAGTAGTTTCCTGTCCATGAGAGCTATTAAGCAGTGGAATAGCATGAATTCTGGGGTCATGATTACATCATCTTTGATGGTTTTTAAATAAATCCCAAAATAAATAATTTATTTTTAAATAAATAAAAATAAATCCAAAGCACCTGAAGGTAAGACAAGAAGCAATGGGTGGAAACTAATCAAGGAGAGAAGCAACTTAGAACTAAGGAGAAATTTCCTGACCATTAGAATAATTAATCAGTGTAACAACTTCCCTCCAGAAGTTGTAGGTGCTCCAACACTGGATGTTTTAGAGATTGGACGGCTATTTGTATGAAATAGTATAGGGTTCCTGCCTGAGCAGGAGATTGGACTAGAAAACCTCCAAAGTCCCTTCCAACTCTTTTATTCTGTTAAATATTGGACAGCTTTTTGTTGAGATGGTTGAGGATTCCTGCACTGAGTAGGAGGTTGCCTAAAAGACTTCCAGTGTCCTTTTTCCAACACTATTTTTCCATAGTGAGAAAATTCATGATAGAACACAGAAAGTGGACATGAAAATGCTCTTCATTTCTTAAGACAGACATTTTTCTCTACTTAGGCTCTGCCATCTATTCAGATTCCTGTATCCCCGCACATATTCACCAGCATTAGCTGGGCTGCTGCAACCTCAACCATCCCCACCCTCTCATCGGTGAGTCTGACATCCTTATAATACTAAAACTCTTGTCATGACCTTTAACTCGGCAAAGTGGTATATCTCAGGGCAATAATTTTTGAACCAAGGAACCTCAAATGGACTAACTCAAGAGTATGCATTCGAAATTTGGGACCCATAACTCCTGATGGAGTGAAATTTGAGAAAGTTACGGCTATGTCACAGTGCTGCTGGCTGCTGCTGCTGGGCTACTGCAGTCACATGATCTTCATCAATTTTCAACATTCTGTAACAGTTTCTCAGCCAGTCTTGCAATCCCTTGCTCCCTCCTCCACCAGTAGCAGCCACAAACCTGCCTGCTGGAAAAGGAGAGCAGGGGAGGGCAAGGAAAGAAGGAAGATTTCCAATTCTCCCTGCTAGATTCCCACGAGGGAATTCCATAGGAAGTCAGATGACACTACTGCTCCCGTTGCTTTTTTGACTGCCCTTCATCATCATGTTTGAGTAAGGAAATATGTTTGAAATGACAACCCAACAGGACACAACTTTTATTTATTTACTTACTTGCTTTTTTATTACTAAATTTATTTGCTGCCCATCTTGTGTCAAATGACTCTAGAATCTAGAAAGTTGTCCGGTTATACCTAAGGAGGGAATCTGGATTGGTTCAGAAGAATATATTACATATACTTGATGGGTGGCATGTTCTGAGAAAGCTGTGGTTTTTCAAGATCCCTTTGTGCATGATTATCTTACAAAATTTGCTACCACAAATTAAAAATAGATTTTATTTTTTCTGTATGAGCATTGAAAAGTTCAACTGCCTGTCAGCCTGAAAAAAATATAGCCCCTCTCTCCCAAAATAAGGCATTTGTAAGCAAAATGTTTCCAGAACATCCAAACCAAGTTGCTAGACAGGATTTTTAGTTTCCAAAACTTAGAACTTTGGTTTGAGTTGAACTGAGAGAGAAACAAAGACATCAACTAGACAGTGAGAATCTATCAGTTAAAAGTATGATGCAGCATTTGTGAAACTGTGTGATTCGGGGTGGGGGTGGGGTGTCAGTTGTAAATGTTTGGAAGGCAAAAAAGGAGATCTAATCAAATTGTTGACAAGTTATAGCAGTGTTGTGCAATTTGGAAAGTGTTGCCCAGAACTTCAGTATTCAAATTGTCTGAATCCTGCAGTTCTAAATGGTGCTGAATTGGGAAAGTCGCCAACGTCCGATAATGGATATGGCACAAGAAGAAGAAGAAAAATGGGAAAAAGGATCCTTCCAATAAAATACTACTTATTTCTTCTCTACACACCTACCCCACTCCTAGGCTCTGCATGGTAAAGACATATTTCAAAATGAAAATAAATGCAAAAGGAAACTGATTGCTTCCTTCTTATATAGCTGTGAAAAGCTTACGTTTGTGGTTGGCTTTATTAGACAAGGCCTTTTAAGGGGATTGTGGCCAGTAGAAGAGAAAATGAGACTAAAAGGGAATATCTGCATTAAGAAGCAGCATATCTCAAAAATAATAATAATAGCAGGTGTTCTTCCCCAGAAGTATCACCTTGAAAAAAAGGAATGTTGAACTAGATAGAGTTTCTGTAATACAGCAGGGCACCAGTTATCTGGAAACTTGATATTTTTATTTTGATATTTTTAAAGAAAAAAATGCCTTTGAAGTATCTAAATAAGACATACTTTTAGAAAGTTTATAGTTTTCAATTGAGTAGAAAAACCTTTCAAGACACCCATTATTGTGTTAGGCAGAATAAGAAAACCCAAATAAATGAAAAAAAAAAACTTGCTTGCAGGTTCGAAGCCGGTCTTTGAGTTTCAGTGAACAACCACCCCCACCTCCAGTGCTGAAATCCCAGCTGATTGTTGCATCCCCCCCAAGAGCATCCAGTGGCACTAGGTAAGAAGGCAGACTGAGCCATTTCAAGCAGGGCTGGGAAATGTCAGATAGGCTCAAAAAGAAAAATGTTGGGGGTTGTTGTTCTTTAGAAATTTTGAAAATGTGCTGTTGGCTTAGGAAGGGGTCAGAGGAAAGACCTCTGCTTGAAATTTTGGGTATCTACTGCCAGAAGAAGTAGGCAAGCTTGGGTTGCAGTTTTTTTAGATCAGTGGCCCGACTGAGCATGAGGCAGATTTGTATGTTCCGTCATTTTTAGCTGAGGCAAAATGTCTAGATTCACATATGGCAGTAAACCATAAACAACAATGTAATGGCCAGGTACCATGTGTGAATCCAACACTATTTCATCAGCCCTAGTGCACTAGAGACAACCTGAATTTTCTGGTCTTCAAAAAAAATCTTTGGATTGTGCTACTGAAATTGATGGCAAATGGGTTTGATTTGTACAGTACAATCTATTTTTTAAAATTAGTTTTAGGAAGAATTGGAAATGTGCGCTTGTGGCAAATTGTGGTGTCTTTGAACCAGGATTGTGTGAGCCATATCTTAGCATAAGTAGTTTTCACTTACTGACTGCAGTTGGGACCAGTAACTCTGTCATTAAGCAATTGCAGCTGTAAAGTGGGACCAAGGGACTATGCTCACTTAGGATATCGGTTCCAACTGCGGTTGCGAAGTGAATCACTTGTAATTATTAAGTGCAACATCATGTGTATGATATAACGACTTCCTGCCAGCTTTCCCATTGACTTTGCTTGTCGGAAGCTGGCTGTGAAGGTTGCAAATAGCAATCTTGTAACTGTAGGATACTGTGACCATTGGAAATGCTCCCAAATCATACTCACACGACTGTTGGGATACTGGGATGGTGGCAACTTTGAAGACTGGTCATAAATCTCCTTTTTAAGCATCATTGTAACTATGAACGGTCACTGAACGATGGCTGGTAAGCAAGGACTGCCTGTAGATGAACTTACCCTACACGAGAATAGGCTCCATTGCAAGCTCTTGGTTAATTAACAAGAGCCTTTTTGTGGATGGAACAGAACAGTAGCCCTCAAGACTTACAGGTGGAAGGCCTCTATTAAGCCCCAGGGTTTGTATCAGATGGGAAAGACTTAATGCTCAGTAGCTATGTATATTCATTAGTTTTCTGTCTTTTGTTTTCTCTAGGAAAGTCCGTGGCGAAGCCAAGAAGTGCCGCAAAGTTTATGGCATCGAGCACCGAGACCAGTGGTGCACAGCCTGCCGGTGGAAAAAAGCATGCCAGAGATTTTTGGACTGAGAAGGATGTATCTGCATCCATACCCCTTTCTGATGGGAAGTCTCAGAGGGCTCTCTCTTGCAGTCACCCAAGAGCAAATTGCCAGATCTCTGTATTTTGGCCACATCCAGGGCCCTGTCATCTTGGAAGCAATTCCCGGTGCTTTGGCAGAAGTCTCGCGAGCCACGTGTTTATCCCAAGCTCTGTATAGTCTACGTCTGCCAGGTTTTCTAACGTTCAGTGTTTTGTGGGAAAGCTTTTTCTACACAATTTTTTCTTTTTTTAAAATGACAAATAACACAGCCTCCCTTTCTATCTGTAAATAAGGAGGACAAAGGAAAAAAAAAAGCTGATTGCTTGATCTATTTTACAGACTTGTTTCTAGGTGGGTCCAGGGACCAAAGAACTTTGATCTGTTCCCCAATATAGGGTGAGGTTGGCTGTGTAGTTGGATCAATGACTGCAATATGGAGGAGAGAAACAACTGTTTCACTTCCCCTGAAGTCATGTAACCATTTAGAGAGTGCAAAAGAGGACAGGAAGGGAACTGCTATTAGCAGATGAGGACAGTTGCTCTACTAATGGACACTGTGTTTCCCTGGGAGTCCTTGGATGCCTGCACAGGAATTAGCCATTTGCATCCTAATGAGCACTGCTTTTTATTTTGTTTTCTTGTTGTTGGGAAACAATCATTGCTTTAAATTGCAAGATGATTCTTCCCCCTCCCCCCAAATTCTAAATAACCCTGAAGTGGAAGGAATATATAAAATAATCTTCTGGATTTTTTTTTTAGCAGTTGTAAACCTCACAACAGATGCATTCTGTAAGAGTCTTCACTGCACAGAATTATTAACTGAGGTAACTGGTGGTTTAAGATGTATGATATCTTGAGTATCCACAATGCAACTTTCATTACCTGGATATCATAGGAACATTATAATCTCCCCATTGCCACTCTATATAGTATGTGGCAGTAAATTAAAGTTCTGCACACTATATTTTTAAGCAAGAATCTGGGTCAGTCTTGGCTTTCCCAATAGTTGGAGTGTTTTCTGGAGCATGAATTTGACTTGTGCATATCACATTTTTAGTGATGCAGCTGGGATATTTTCCCCTTTACAACTGTGCGTTCATCTGTCTTTATTAATTGGCTCCCCAAATTAGGCCTATCTTCCAGACAAGAATTAGATGGTTAATTATTAATTAATTGAGTTTCCTATGAATGGTAACGTGGTTGGACAGTTTATTTCATTTCTCTTCTAATTATCAAAGGAAGCAACAGGTAATGAACAAAGTAGCATAGCACATAAAAACTATGATTATTTTCTTCCTTCCTCTTCAGGGCCAGCAGTCTAAACCTTTGAACATCAGTGAAGCAGCATAACAAGATTTGCATATCAGAAGCCAGAACTGTTTTGTAGGGCATGCTGATCCATGTTCAGTTTCTAGAAATGCCCATTTATTTTGCCCTGCTCCCCCATTCATTGTTTCCATCCCATCTTTCTGGCCACTGAATAATCTTAGATACACAATCTATAGTCCCAGTCTCTCAGGATATAGTTAGAAGAGAAAGAAAATCTAGGCCTCTTTGAAATTGGGAGGGACACAGAGATATGTTGGCAGTTGAGGCCAACATTGTCTTAAAATTGGTTGGGATTTTATGAGCCCAATTTTCAAAGATTCTTGAGTTATCTGGGGAAGAATGAGTATTTTCCAATTGGAGGGGGAGGGGTTTGAAATAATAACCAATAATTCCATCATTATAAACATGTATTTTCCTCATGACCCATTGGCCTCAAAAACCTGAAAAATTGTAATAATCTATTTCCCCCACAAGATTTCCATCTAACTACTCTTGTTATGACTGAGTTTGGGTTAAACTACAGTGAGAGACACTGGAATTGGAAATGGTTGCCTGCTCTCTCAACACACTTGGTGTTGGTTGTATCATCTACACAAGGGACTGTAAAACCAAAATATGTTAGCCAAGCTGTACAATTATTCCTTTCAATTTTCTGTGATTAGCATGTATATGTTAGAATTCATATAGACATATTTCCTTGCAAATATTGTGTCTCTCTCTTTTCTCTCTCTTTCTCTCTCCGTGGTTATCTGGTGACATGAAGATAGGCCAGGTGTGATCTCAGAGGGATGGGGGAATACAGTCCAATAAGACAACTGTTGGATGGATATTGCAATGATGGCAGTTAGCCATATGCCATCAACATAATAGGCAGGGCTGAACTTTTGAGGCAATGGGTATTTTAAGGAGTGTTATGGGTGCCTTGGCATCTGTTGGCCAAGCCACTCATTTCTCTTCTTAAATTTCCCAAATCAATTAAAATGGATCTGAATTTTTCAGTCCTGCCCACGCAGGAGGGTGGGGGCTCTCAGGGCTCAGATGATGTGTTGGAGGTGTGTGGAAGTTTACATTCAAAGTTGATAAACTCAAAAATGCATGATCATAGGTTGTGCAATGCTGCTTCAGTGGTGAGCCTAATTAAATTTGATGGCTAGCTTCACCACGGAAGTCACTGTCAAGTTATCAAATAAGCCATCAGTTTGGCTGAAGGGGAAATCTGTTCCTCCATTTCAGGAAACCATGTGGCTTGGTTTGTTTTCATTTTGCAGATGTAAAGTGGCAACACCAATAGTAATGATAATGGAAATGAAAAATGAGGTATATTGGTAGGTATTTACATTGTTTTGAAGTTAGTTCTCTGCCTCTTTTCTCCCCTTCCCTGAAGCGTTTTGATAATCATGAGCCATAAACTAAAGAGATAAACCTCTCTGTAAAATATTAACTGAACTATATGTCCTGGAGAATTATAATTTCTTTATATAAAAATGTGAGCTCTTTTATCTTTCTTTGAGGGTACTTTAAGGGATGGGTGGAAGAGTTTGAAAAGGAATTATGTATATTTTTGGTGCTTGTTGATTGCTTTTTTTTCTGTAATCTTGTGCATAATATTCATAGTATGTCAGATTTTATTTTTCTAGCCTGGACATCTGATAGATGCTTAACTGATCTTGTAATTAGTTACAAATTAATTTGTACAAATTACAAATTAAGTTTTTGAAAATTAAAATTGAACTCAGATTTATGTAGTGCAAATTCTGAATAGGGAATTTGGGAATATTGAAGTTCAGATAAGAGGTATTACAACTGAAGCTTCAGGTTTATAATAAAATGTGGGATTTTTACTTAAATGCATTGCTTGGGTCACAATAGTCTGATTTCAGTGAAAACGCCTTGGAACTTAAAAAATGAGGAGCTTGGCTTTGAAAATCATGCTTCATGTCAAAATACTAATGGAAATTTGGTGGGTAAAAGCCCTAGATCAGTAGTTCTCAACCTTTTTAATGCCGTGACCCCCCAACCGGTCGTAAGTCGAGGACTACTCAACTGGTGCAGCACCGTTTGCAGAATGGGACTTTTGGCGGGCTCAGCAGGGCAGAGACAGCCTGGACAATTCCTATTGGCTTTTGAAAGCCAATAGAATTAGACTCTATTCAAGAGAGTCTATTCTATTGGCTTTCAAAAGCCAATAGAATAAAAGGGAGTAGCACAGCTAAGGAAAAGGGGGAAAAATGGCGGACTGCGTTGTTTGGCGACCCCCGTGAAATGGTCGTTCGACCCCAAATGGGGTCCCGATCCATAGGTTGAGAACCACTGCCCTAGATGAAATATTAGTTTTAGCTTCAGGAGAAACCTCATGTCTTTTCCTCCCCATCTGAGATACATTTCTCTCACTTCTATAGCTTTGGTTCAGTGAGTTCTTGGGAAACACTGAAAGGGGTTGACCTGGACATCTTTCGTTCAATAAAAGCAGGGATTGCTGAACAGAAATCAGTCCTTGGTCCTCAGAGACAAACCTGGCCCTTTAAAAAGTACAACTTGATCTCATCAAGGACAACCCATTATCAAGACCAGAAGTTTACTAGGATTAGTGGCTGTGGCAAAAAACCTTAGGTTTCCACCTGTTGCAGAATGCAGGAGGGCCTTGACCTACTAGCATGTTTCCCACTACACCCAAGTCAACAGAACTGTTGTTGTGGACCAGCCATCTTGGTTCTGCTGTTTGAGTGATGGTCTCTGCCAAGCAAAGCAGCCAGCTGTCATTACAATGCGTCATGATTTAGCAAATGGATGAATAGTCTGACTTAACCATCCAAGAAGATGGATACTTCTTTTTGGAGATCTGTGGCTGATATTGCTCAAATTAGATTATTGATGCTTTTGGTTCAGAACTTCTCTGCTCTGACCAATCAGCCAGATTTTTTTCTTTTTTTAGCATCCATTCTTTCTCCTGAGAAACATTTTGCTGCTACTTTCTGTCCCTGAAGCCAGGTAGAGAAGGGAATCTCTGGTTTTCTACAATGGAAGTGCATCATCTGCGGCTTCCATCTAAAGCCATTAATGTTTGGAGGTTTGGGGCAGTGCAATTGCTTTTTCTTTATGGACTAAACTATAAACTATAGAATACTTGGGTGGTCTGATGGAGTTGATTCCTATAAATCCTCTTAATAAAAAGAGAAAATTTAATATTAAAAATACATAAATGTGCAAGGACTTTGAAATTGCTTATTTTAATGATAGTACTTCATTGCTCTGATCCTCTATGGTTATCAGAGATACAAAATAATTTTAAAAGGGGGGATTCTGACTGCTTTTCTGCAGCTGCCTTCCTTCAAACTAGTCTTAATAACTAAGATGCAAAGCCAATCTGTTGCAGATTGATGGTCTACAAATAATTCTCAGTTGGAACCTGTGAATTTCAAAGCCATTTCTCCTCAAATTCCAAGACAAGTAAGGCTCCAGTTTTGACACTGAAAATTGAGTATTGAGAAATAGCCTTGATTAAAATTCAGTCCCCCCAAATTAAAATTGATGTTTGAAAATCCCAGTATTTTTAACAGCTCCTTCTACTTCAGCCACCCTGCTATGGGTGGATCCTTGTATCAGAGTAAAATAGTTTATTTTCTGATTTAGAAGAGGCATCTCAATTTCTTGTTGAATCAGGAGAGAGTAGTAGATGATTATCTTCAGATTGATATTTAAAGATCAGTTTCTTCAGTGGCAAAAGTCTGGGTCTTATGCTTACAAAAAGCAGGTTTTTTTTGGGGGGGTAGCTTTTGTTAGAATATGATTAAAAAGTTGTGGGAAGAAAAGGCCCTATAAAAGAATAAGCAGTGAAACACTGAAGCCTCTGGAACAATGTTTCTCATCCTTGGCTATTGTGTGAACTTCCAACTCCCAGAATTCCCTGCCCAGCATTGGTGGCTAGGAAATTCTGAGAGTTGAAATATTAAAGTGGTCAAGGTTGAGAAACACTGTTTTGCAATATAGGATATCCCTATTATGCCATAACAGATTCTTGGAATCAAAGTGTTACTCCTTTTATTATGGTGTCAAAGGAATATGTGCCATTTACTGGTGAGGTTAGGAGCATAATCATTGCCAAAGCATGCAATCAGTGCTGTCCTCTTTTTTTGAACAAAAAGCCAGCCTTTCTTAAATGCCTCATTCCCCCCAAAATTTATAGCACTTAATTTTGGAGCGTGAAAAGGAAAGCTAGCCTTCCATGGAAATATATTTGTTATCAGTATCTTTTTAAAAAGATATGTTTTTCCTCTTCTCTTATTTCGTGAGCTATGCGGTACAATTAGGCTGGACAATGTATGTCAGTGTTTTTTTCCTTCTGTATTTTAACCAAGAAACTTTGGAATATAATTCTCTTCACTCCTTCACCCCAAATATAACCTCCCCATAGGAAGGGAAAGTTGGAAGGAAGCAATTTTAGGAAATGCTGCTTCCTAAATACTTGTTTTATAAATGTTTTATTTGCAGTGGAGACCATCCTGTTTTCTCTTCATAGAATGCAGAGAGCTTGTATTGGTAGGTGAGGGAGGTTTGAGGAAATAAGGAACAAGATGTGAACAATCTCGTTTCTTGGTGGCAGCCATTTTGCAAGGGCGGCCTGTAATATGTCAGTAGTCCACATTGTGAGTTGCTCTGTCTTAGTTCATTTCTGCCTCTTCTGCTCGCAGGATTATCCTTTTCCCAACCTTTACTCTTTCTTGCAATAGGCCAAAGAGAGAATGAAAGAGATCCCTATCTGTATCCAAGCCATTACTTTTTATTCTTTTATGAAAACTTTAAAAAATGATTACCATTTCACAGATGCAACTGAGGCTTTTCTCCTGGCTTTGAAAATAGCAAAAGAAAAAAAAAGATTTTCAAATATTTAGGCTGGCTCCTTTCCCCCATTTTTATCCAGCCCAATCTTTCTAATTACTTGAAACATTGTTAGTTTTTCCATTGGATTTGCATAGAACCTGTGGGTAGTGAGTAGACACACTCCCTGTCCTCCTAGGAGCAAAATTCACTACCGGGGTCAATAGGATGCATCAGGATCCTACTGAATGCACCCTCCCAAAATGAGGTCACTATGGTTTGTTTTTATTACTGAGTTAAGGACATTGGTGTATTTCTGATGCCAAAGGATTTTAGCTTTAATACAGTAATCATTCCGTGGTCCTCTCATCTGAATTAACGGATGGTGCAGTTTTTAATTCTTCCATTTTGATTTTAGTTACTTTGGATTACAGCAGTATTTCTCAACTTCAGCAACTTTAAGCTGTGTGGACTTTAAGCATGCTGGGAGTTGAAGTCCACAGAGCTTAAAGATGCTGAGGTTGAAAAACACTGGATTACAGGATTGATTTCCAAATCTATACCCATTTTTCAAAAATTAACTCGATCTAAGATCTGCAAATACCACATGGGCTGCATAACTTTTTTTTTTGAGAGGAAGGGGGAAATTGTGACTTGTGCACGCATATATAAACCATTTTATTAGCACTAGCTAGGGCCTATTTTCTATTCACGCTATGCACTGTGAACCCTTGATTTTGTTATTTCAAACAAAAGTCACCAATGTTGTGTAGCAAAATTGGCATACTGGAAACACCACCAACCCAGTTTCCATCTGCTGGGTCAGACTGCAGCTCCCATAATTACTAACCAGCATGGAAACTGGGGATGATGGAAACAAAAACACCTCAATGAGGTTTAGATGTAGAACTCCAAAATCCAATTAATTTAATGTGTCTGAATTTTTAAAAATGTCTTTGCTTTCAAATAGGAGAAGTGGAATTGATTTCCAAATAAAAGGGCTATATAGTTGCACAGCGGTGTATATATGTGTACTGAGTGCAGATGCGCATGAGTGCCATGCCTTGTTAGGCATGTAGAGACAGTTTGCCAGCTCATCCTCTGGGATCAACATCAATTCTAGGCACGGATAGAATTCTCCCCTAAAACTGAGTGTACGCATGCATTAACTCCAGTGCAGGGTAGAGAACAAGGAAGCTACCTGGGTCCTATCACCAACGATTGCTTTTACAGAGAGCAACACAAGGTGAAGAGGAAGTCCTAGAACTAGCCTTCTTAGAAGATCAAGAATAAGCCTGTTAAAACTTCAGTTAATGCCACCTTAAAACCAAGTTACTTGGTTGGTTTTCTGAGCTTGATATTGGTGAGCCTGGGTTTTTGAACTTCTTAAGTATGAGAGATTTTGAAAAAAAAAAAAAGGAATGAAGATAGGAGTGGCTGGATAGTTCTTGTAATCTGCACGCTGCTCTTTCAATGGTGATATGCTATCAAGCCTAAGGGGAGGGGAATCTGTTGTATTGTGAATTGCTATCTAATTGGAGCTTTTCTTTTGATTGTCTTCCAAGTATTATTTTTTATTGTAAACAAAAAATGTGAAATGTAATTTTTACAACAGCAATATGAAATATATTTTATAATAAAAGGATATGGCCTGGTAGATGTCAGTTTCTGTATTTTTTTGCTCCTTCTCAGGAGGGTGGGTGGGTAGGTCTACATAAAAGTGATTCCTCCAGAAGACTCATAGTCCCAACTGGTCAGGATGTATATGGAGGCATAGAAAGTTGACTTTTAAATTAAACCAGGCTGCTGGTACAACTATTACCCCAATAGTTGAACAGTTTTTCCTGTTAGAAAGTTCTTACTGATATCCAGCCAAATTCTATTTCATTGTAATTTAGCACTCTGCTTAAAAGCTGAGGGATAAAAAAGTATGCCATCAGTGACCTAATGCGGAGAATTGATGCTGGGGATATTATCTGTCTCTACAACTGAGGTAACTCCTAATGAGTGACACTTTCTTCCCTCAGGCATTTTTCAAGCTAGAAATTTCTTGATTAGTACACAGAAGTATACTTGTATAATTGGATAGAAGGTAAGAGTGTCTCAAAACGCATTTGTACTGGTGTAGGTACAAAGGTCATCCCTATAGTGAACTGGCATACCAAAGCTGCATAGATACGGATATATTTCAACTATGGGCTTTGCTTGTTTGTGCGGACTGGTTGCTGGTATGCTGCGGCCCAGTATCAGTCAACGGATTGGGGGTTGGAGACCCCTAGACTAAAATATAACTAGCTATATAACTCTCTGCTACAAACATAGTTTAACATATAACAGCTCCAACTCAGCTGCAATTACATAAAGGGTATGAGTGTTAACAGCAATGGAAATTTTAGAAAACCTGAGAGTGCAAAGAACACTCTCTAAGGTTATTTGTGTGCCAGGAGATGAAACATCTCTGGGCTGCCTTGTTAAGCAGTTGGATAGCTGACTTGTGGGAAAAAAATTCACTGCTGCCCTAAAACATTACATAAAGTATATTATTTAGACATAGTAAAACAGTTATCGATCAATTTGTTTTAGTGATCAGTTTTGAATCCCAAAAAATATACAAAAAACAATTAGTAAGAAAGAAATGTAAAATAAAGTGTAACAGCAGGTTTTTAATATCTTGGTGATTCAACTTTTTTTTAAAAAAATGATTTAAATTAAATCCAGAATGAAACAATCTGAAAAAAAAAACCTACTATCAATTTCCCAACTGTTGTTACATTGTACGAAGTCACAATTTCAGCAGTACTATTCAACAAGGAATCTAAGCTTTCAGTCTGCTAATACCTGTACTTTACATTTTATATGAAATTTATGACATTCCCTTTACAGCTACTGCATATTTTGGCATTAAAGGTAGTCCTAATTTAGCAACTGTTCAAAGTTATGACAGTGATGAAAAAGTAACTTTGTGACCAATCCTCAAATTTATGATCTTCACAGGTCTGCAAAGGAAAGGAAAGCTGACGTAAGATAACAAGCAGTCATTTCACCTAGTAACCATTTCACTTAATGACAGCTGCTGGTCTCAACTGTGATTGCTAAGCAAGGACTATCTATATTTACTGAACAAAATAAGTATGTAGTATGCAATTTAAAATACCAACTGTTTTCCTCAAGATCTCTCCTATCTCAGAAGCTCCCTTTTGCATTTTACTTGCAGGCATTGTTTATCTTCTCTTAATTGCCAGTGATCCCCCCCCCCCCCTTCTGCTCTTGCCAACATAGAACAAACCTTGATCAGACACATTCAGTCTGATTTCAATGGTCTGCATTTCCTCTTTGACCTTTTATTGGCTTACAGCACAATTTTATGCAAACCTACTCAGAGGTTAAGTCCCATTATGCAGCTTATCTCCAGGAATATATTAAAAGTTCCTAGTAATCAATTACAGTCCTTTAAAGCTTTAATGTATTAAAGCTTTCCCCTTTGCTTGCAATTGCATCTAGATGCTTCCCTCCATTCTATAGGTTATCAGCCTAATTTCCTTCTCGTAAAAGCTATAATTGGCACTGTCAGGGGAAACAGCATGGTTTATTTTACTCCATGCAATTATTTTACGCAAATTTAGATGGTTGCTCTGAAAGTATTTAAAAATTTCTTATAGATATATACTTTGTCTACCTTTTGATCCAATAGAACATTCTTTGCAAGGAATGTAAAATTTAATTACTCGTACTTTTCAATTTAAACAATGCATTAGAATTACCAATGTATTTCTAATCTATATTTTAATGACCATAGCAGAAATGTCAAGAGAATGAGTACCAAAAGATAACTTTTTCATATGGCTACCTTCAAAAATACAATTAAGTAAAAGAAGTCTACATAGGCTGATGAAAAGACCAAGTTTATACTTTGAAGTTCTCTGAAGATCTTTCTGCACATATAAATATGACTTCTTTTCTGCATATGTTTTCTTTTGCCTGATAAAACAACAGCTTTTCCTACTTTATTGTCTTTCCCTGGTGTGTATTCTCTGATGTAAAGTTAGGCTTGTGTTTCGACTGAAGCTCTTCCCACACTCTAAGCATTTATAGGGCTTTTCCCCTGTGTGAATCCTTCTATGTGAAACAAGATCTGTGCTCTGTCCAAAGTACTTCCCACACTCCAAGCATGGATATGGTTTCTCTCCTGTATGGATTCTATGATGCCTAACTAGGCTGGACTGAGTGGTAAAACTCAGGCCACAGTCTGAGCAGTTGTACGTCTTTTCCCCAGTGTGAATCCGCTTATGTTTAACAAGGCTTGAATGGTCCCGGAAGCTCTGGCCACAGTCCAAGCAATTGAACGGTCTCTCTCCAGTGTGTGTCCTTTGGTGCGAAGAAAGGCTTGTGCTCCGACTGAAGTTCTTACCACACTCCAGGCATTTGTATGGCTTCTCTCCTGTGTGGCTTCTTTCATGCTTAATAAAGCTTGACTGATCAGAAAAGCTCTTGTTGCAGTCTAAGCAGCTGTATGGTCTCTCCCCAGTGTGGATGCGCTGATGCAAAGTTAGGCTTGTGCTTCGACTGAAGCTTTTCCCACACTCTAAGCATTTATATGGTTTCTCCCCTGTGTGGGTTCTTCTGTGTGAAGCAAGATCTGTGCTCTGACCAAAGTACTTCCCGCATTCCGTGCACCGATATGGTTTCTCTCCTGTATGGATTCTCTGATGTCTAACTAAGCTTGACTGAGTGCTAACACTCAGGCCACAGTCTGAGCAACTGTAGGGTTTTTCCCCAGTGTGAATCCGCTTATGTTTAATAAGGCCTGAATGATCCCGGAAGCTCAGGCCACAATCCAAGCAGCTGAATGGTCTCTCCCCAGTGTGTGTCCTTTGATGTGAAGAAAGGCTTGTGCTTGAATTGAAGCTCTTCCCACACTCTAAGCATTTATAGGGCTTCTCTCCTGTGTTGATTCTCTGATGCGAAGGGAGGCTTGAGCTGTGATTGAAGCCCTTTCCACACTCTGAACATTTATAGAGTTTCTTGTCTTCAAGAAATGCTTGACCATCAACAAGGTTGTGGTTCCAATTCACACTCTTTCCAAATTTGAAGTTTTTATTTGACTTTCCCTCTGCATGGATTAACTGGTGAATATTCAGACAATTATTACATCTCTTATCTGTTTGGCTGTTAGGTTGCACTGGGGTTTCACTGAAACTTCTACTTTGAGAAGTAATAGATTTATCAACTCTTTTCTCCACAAAACTTCCTTCTTCTCCTGTTGGTCTGCTTTGATTCCAAAAATTCTCTTTCAGTTCCTCAGATTTGACTTTTTCTGATTGTTTCCCATCATTCTCACTCTTCCATCCATTATCCACTGGAATAAAAAGAGAAATCGAACAAAATTTCTACGTAGGACCTCCAGACACTGTGCTATAAACCTAGTTAGTTTCTTGGGCTTCCCCCCCTCCCGACAGTTAACTAGCCTCCTAGGTCCTTCCTAGGTAATCTACTACAGGATTTATCTCTCTTTCCACTAGGATTCTGACCTACAGGGACAAATATAATCTTAAAGGGCTCTTCTCTGCAACATGCTTAATAATCAGCTAGAACCTCAGTACTCTACATCTCATCAGCAGTGATTTTTGCAGCACACTGCTGATTTATTTGGGTCAACAACTGCTATTTTAGGAAGACAGATTCTCCACCCCACTTTTTCATGAAGTACCTGATATCTTATGAGTCTTTGTATCAGTCAAATACTGGCAAGTTTTATTATAACACTAACCCCATCCCCTTTAACAAGAAGGCAGCAGTAGGAGAAGCTTCCCCTATAACTAATGGGAATAAGCTTGGAAAGAAGAGTGCAGCCTAGATCAGTGATGGCGAACCTAAGGCACGCATGCCAGAGATGGCACCCAGAGCCCTCTCTGTGGGCACACCTGCTGCCGCCGCCAGTTATGCAGGCCACCGCTGGCGCTGGAGCAGCAGCCCCACCCAGCACAAAGGAGGCGAAACAGCTGGCTAGTAAGCTCAAGGAGAGGTGGTAGAGCACGCCCCCATGTGCTCGCTGGCCTCTGTGTGTGGGGACTGCAGCTGTCCCTGCCTCACCTTGTCCCGCAGCAATGGCACCCCCGCCCTACCCCCTGCCTCACCCTGTAGGACGAGCCTTCTGCCCACCGCCCCACTCACCAGAGACCCATTGGATCTCCCCCAATCCTGCCCAGCCCCCACAGGCATCCCCCCATGAGCAACATCAAGGTGGCCATGTCCACCCCGGCTACGCCCACTCAGTCTGCCGTCACCACTGCAGCCACTCCCACCCAGTGGGCCACACCTCCTGCCTCCCCCGAGGGCACCACAATGCTGATGTGGCCCTGGCACTTTGCGATAAATAATTGTGTTTTGGGTTGCGGTTTGGGCACTCGGTCTCTAAAAGGTTCGCCATCACTGGCCTAGATTATACAGTAGTCTCATAAAATTTGTGTCTGAAGGAGGAGATGTGGTGAAAACATCTCAGAAGGTATCTTCTCTAGTTTTTGGGAGAATAAAAGTGAAGAAAGGAAGAGGTACTTTTAGTCTTTCAAAATTCTGTTAATGTGACTTTACAAAAGAATTAGCAATCATAGTATTGCTTCATATCAGAATTACCTCAAAGGGCTAACAATAGCCAATTAATGTGGAAGAGACATATCTCTGGGTTGCCAGATCTTGGAATGAACAAGACTGGTTTTTCAGTTGATTTTCTCTCTATATAGCAAAAAGTTACTTAATCAAAACAGAATGTCTAGATTTAGGCCTGTCCACAATTCATTGGGTCAAATTAGCTTTAATTCTATGCATAACTGGTTCTGTTTGAGGATAAATTTTACTGAGTATTAGCTAACTGGGTCAATTGATCTCTTTTGTGTTACATCATGCTAATAATATCTAATCATTCTTTCCACTGAGCAAGTTAAATGAGTTGGGATCAAATAGCTCTCCTCGCAGTTGTCACTGTCATGTCAGAAGCACTGAGGCGCTTCCAGGTTGAAAGGATTAGCCAGTGATATCACCACTGCCTGGGGGACACCCAGTTGGGGGCTCCTTTCATGGTCTGTTAATAAGCCCACCAAAGTAGTACCTATTTATCTACTCATGTTTGTAGCTTTTGAACTGTTATGTTGGCAAGAGCTGGAGTGAATGATGGGAGCTCACCCCATCACACAGAAGCCTTCAGGTCTTGAACGCAGCCTTGCAAATTATTAAGCCAATGTTCTAACCATGTGAGCCACTGTGCTCCGTCAGCTCTCCTAAAAGCCATAAAAATAAAGGCTACCAGTTTGGTGCTTCAAAAATCCAGATGACCCTAGATGGCAGCAAGCAGCCATATTTGTTGCGGCCTGAGGTTTTGCACCTCAGGTCTGGTAACATCACCAAAATGTCACAAATTAGGGATTTCATTGAATTTCAGTGTTTGATTGGTACTATTTTAGCAGGTAGAGGCCAATAGCTTTTATGTCCATGACTGCCATGTTGTTGATCTTTATGCTGTGCCATTCTGGTTTTTTTTTTTTTCATTCTTTCTGAGAGTCAATCCAGATAATAGGATGTAATTCAAAATACCAATAGGCACCTTGGAAGTCCTATGTGGTCTGGGGTGTGGATAGCTTTAGGACAGGCTACTTCCAGCAATACCAGTAAAACCTAGATGGGAAGATTCATTTGGAATCCCTACTCTAAACAGAGCAACCATCAAGCACAAAGCCAAGCTTTTTCTCCTGCTGCTGCACTGCTATGGACTAACATTCCCGCTATGATTAGCCCAGCACCAACCCGCTTGCAATTTAACAAAGTTGTTAAGACTAGGCCAACCAAGAAACTGCTTAAGACTGACTTGAGAAATGAGATTTCTCTCCCCCCCCCTTTCCAAATGATTCTTGATTTTGTTTCTAGGAATGCTGTTTCTCAGCATAGCACAATTAGAATTATTATGATTATTGTATTTTATAATCTGTTTACTAAAACGGAATTATGCTGCATGAAGCCAGTTGCAACTGAAGCAGCACAGAAATTGTGTAATACATAAATACACAGTAGCTTATTCAACAAACCATGATGAAAACAAATTGGGGCTTAGTGTTAAAATGAGCAAAAATGAACCAAGCTCAAAAGATATATCCATAGTCCTTACCAGTATCAATTCTCAACTGGACACTAGTTCCACAAGGAGCTGGGCTCCCTTCTCTGCAGGGAATGGCTTTATTTGCTTTCTCCCCTGGGATATATTTTGCTCTTTCTTGGCTTGTTAAAGTTTTTGACTGCTCCCAGTTTTGGAAACCATAATCTTCTCCTTTCCATGCTGATTTGCCATATAATTCCATAGGTTTTGAATATTCTGGTATATGTTTCTCCTCGTTGATTCTGATTAAACGTTCCTGGCCTGTTGGAGTAATGAAAAAAACCCCAATTTGTTCTGTAAATTAGAAAATATGCAATTTCAAAATTATTTTCTATATGTACGTGGGAATGGAATTAAGTGGAAGAATCACCTTTCAGATCTCAAACGGAATTTAGCTGTCTCATGCATTCATCAGATTAAGAATCCAAAATTTTGAGCATAATTTTCCTATCTCTTCCATATACTGAACATTACCCCCAATATACAAAATGAGAGAAAAAACCAATTGTATGCTTTCTAACAGTCTGTTGCCTCTAGTTATTATGAAAAATCATGACTATTTATAAGCCCAATAAAATAAAAATAAAAATAAATGTTATCAAGCATTCTAAGACATATGATGCAATTGTGAAGGAGGTGAAAGAATCCCCAGATACATATGTTGCATATCTGGATTTTTTTCCCTTTTCCTTCCTTTCACTACAATCAGGCCTTTCACCTTTCCTTTTTTTCATATCCCAAAGACCTTAAATAAAATAAGTTCCAAAAGAAATTAAATGGAGATTGTAAATTTAGACCATGTGGGTGGCCTCGGAGGTCTGTTTTTAAAAGAGCAAATAACACTCATTAAACCTTGGGAAAATTATTTTGTCTCCCCATTTCCATTTAGTGATCAAAGAGTGTAGATACTGTAAGCATACATCAACTTCTCTGTTCTCTGAAGGAAGGAGTCCTAGCTGAATTCAGACTCACAATGAAGTTTAGATACATAAAAGGGCATTCCTCATTACCCAAAAAAACAGACATCCACTGTTTCATCTATCCCTCTTAGTCACAGCACACAGAAGTCTCCTTTCCATCTTAGTTGGAACTTCACGTTGCTAGAAGTTTGCAGGGTTTTTTCCAGAGCAGTAGTGGGAATGAATCCTTTCAAGATAAAGCAAAAAAGCTGAAAGGACATAACAAACAAAACAAAACAAAACAAAAAAAAGACCCAAGCAGCCCCATTAGCACAAGCTAGAGGGATATCAGGACTGAATTACTTGAATGTATACATTACATTTGTTGAAGCTTTTTGTTAGAAACTAGTTACACACAGTTCATGGTAACCTTGCATGCAGTTGACTCAAGAAGACGGGCAAGGAACTTGTTGTATTTTAGTCTATGAAATATGTCCCCTTATGGCTAGACTGACCCTACAAAAATGATATCCCATTCCACAAATTAATGAAAATGGAAAGCTTTTTTATGCTTCCTTTTGATGTCAGTGTTGATTATGATTTTCAATGTTATTGGACTTAGTGGCCCAAATATCTCTTTCCACCTCTGTATAATAAACATTATCACCTAAGTTTTTCAAGTGCAAGAAAAAAAACAAATTCATTAAAACTTGGTCTTTTTGTTTGTAAGGTGGAAATAACGTAGAGCAGGAATTCTTATAAAATTTCAATACAAATCCTCATTGATCTAAAAACAAAAAAAAAACCACCACCCAGTTATAGATTATCACTTGAAATAAAGGAGAGTTTACAATCCCTGAAGGTTTCAGGCTCTAGCTGTCTTCTCTCTCTCTCCTACTGTTATCCATATAATTACTTATATCCATGTTCTTCCATCCTTGGAGTGGCTCTTTTATAAAATAAAATAGAGCAAAACCTCCTATGACACATCTTACCATGATAAATCAAAACTACAGCATATAACACACAAAATACAGAGCACGTAACACAAAATGTTTTTCCTCTTCTGAAATCAACAAATTGTGCCACAGGCAATGTAATAAGCAGATTTCCACCACTGAAAAGTCTTTATCTTGCCCAGTTTTTATATCTATTGATATAAGAAGAATTAACAGAAGTTATCAAAATTCCCAGCTGTACATATATACTTATTTTGGTTATTTCAAAATCCTTATTCTTTCCTCTGTTTCTTTTACAAAGTTTTGTTTCATGTTTTAACTTTGTACGCCGCCCTGAGTCCCTTGGGATTGGGCGGCATATAAATATTTGAAAATAAATAAATAAATAAATAAATAAAATTTTGTATTTTACTTTTTATGATAAAATAAATAATATACAATGAATTTATACATAACAGTAATGTTACCGTACTGAAATTTGTTTGAATTTTTCCAGCTTCTTCTAGAGAAATTTCAGTCATTGACCTTTTCTGCCACAGTTGTTAAATGAATCACTGCAGTTGTTAAGTGAATCTGGCTTCTCCCATGTTTTTGTCAGAAGATGGCTGGGAAGGTTCAAATGGTGATCACAAAGCCCCGGAACAGTGCAACCCATCATAAATACGTGCCGATTGCCAATAATTTTGATCACATGACCATGGGGATAGTGCAATGGTCATAAGTGCGAGACCTGGTCATAAGTTACCCTTTTCAATGCCTTTGTAACTTTAAACAGTCACTAACTGGTTGTAAGTTGAGAACTACCTATATATATCATAAACTAACCTAACAGCAGGGTTTGCTCATTATGGTAAACTACACAATATCTAAGAAATTAACTCTACCCAAGCTTATTATGTTGTACAAATGCACCTGCCAAATCTTTAATTAAATGGGATGTATTCCCAAACGGGTTAGATGTAGGACTAGTGCTCAATTGACTTTAAGAAAGAGAAGCCCTAATTACTGCATATACAAGCATATTGCATGCTTCCTTATCCCTGCCATCAATACAAAAAGCATGGTAAACTGTGAGAACTGAAGTCCTCCCAAAAATGGGAGCCCTGATCTGTGCAAGACTCTTTGTGTTATAGGGCTGTCACTAGAGGTGTCCACCCTCAATGTCTGAGCATAAGTGGAAGGGCAAACAATATTATCCCTTGTGTTTTGTGCAAAGCAATACTTAACAACTGGAGTCTTAATTCTTTGTATAACAGCATATAAACAGTATCTCACTTCTTACCACAAGAATTTTGGTCTAATTGCATACAAATTATGCATACATTAAATTAAAGTGTGTATGTCTATTATTTTTGAAATAATGTTTGTTATTAATTATGCCTTCCCTTTTCTCTCCAGTAAGGGAATAAGGATTTTTATTTGCTTTGCAAGACCTCGATATTGAGCAAATATACAAGAAATCTAATATTCTCTAAAATGTACTGAAGTAGAAGTAAATTCAATTATATTAACATTTAACATTTATGATTATATATCAGAAATTTAGATATCAGAAATTTAATTAACATTGTGGCTACAGTATCTGCCGTAATGATAACTAAATGCAGAATAATTACTTGCATCCACCTGCAAATATTGGTGTAGTATAATTTTTGGAAAAAATAAAGAACTGATTAACATTAGGATAATAGAAGTATGGATGTGGTTTGAAAAATGAACAGTTGATGGTAAATTCCTTTCAGCAAAAGCAAACAAAGCAATGTTTTTTTAAAAAAATAAGTTAATTCAAAAACAAACTTATAAAAAGAGCAAAATGCTGAATCTCATCTCTCAAACCTCAATGCTCACAAATAACAGGTTTTAGAGGTGGGTCAGAAAGCAGGGATTCTGAAGCCAAGCTCAGAACACACAAGTTCATACCTGGAAAGGAAGAATTTCAAGCTAAACCATGTGAGGCTTTAATGACTAAGATCAACACTAAATGGAATCTGGAAATAAATATGCAATTAATGGTACTGGCAAAGAATATGCATAACATGATTCAAATGCTTCATTTCTCTCTCCACATCTCCTCCTCATGCATACACATACACACACTCTGCAGCCTGTTTCAACGGCTGTCTGAAGAATCTCATGGTATACTTTATAATAATCTAGCCTGGCCATAACCATAATATCATGGAAGCTAGGTCTACTTTATCTACAAAAGATTGCAGCCATCAAACTAGTGAAAACTAAGTCATCAATCCAGAATCACTCTAAGCTTTAAGGGGAAAAGCCTCCAGCTAAGAATTATATTGCAAACTTCCTTCCCGAGCTGCAGATTTTGCTCCCTGCCATCTGCCTAGACTTAGCTTCACTTGGTGTGCCCTCCCATCCTTTCTCGTCTTTTAACCGCGTCCCTCTGATAAGACCATGATAAAAGAGATCGACCTGTTTGTGATCGACATCCTGATAATCTCCTTGCAGATTTTCGGTTAAGCTTTCCCTGCAGTTTCTCTCTCTACAGGTGTTTAACAAAGCCCGAGGGAAGGCAGCTTCAGAGATTACAAAACCCACTAGTATGAAACCAGGTATTGCAAAGGTCCCTTTTCCATGACTATTAGACGCGCAGAGGAAGGAAAACTGGTCCCTTCTTACAAGCTGGGCTACGGAGGATGAGAAGGTGCGGCAACGGGTTTTCGTGTCCTTCCGATCTGCATCTCAGTCTCTTTCGGGTTTTTTCTTGGGGGAAAATCCCGCTCCCAACACTCACCCAGGTATGTCCAAGCCCTTTTCGCCCACCTTCGAGCTTGTAAAATCCAAGAGAAACCCACACCCCACTTCCCCTGGGGCTATCAGGAAATCTTACTTGCATTTTCAAACATCAGCTTCCGGGGCGGGTCTTAATGAAGGAAGAGCCAATAGCAGTGAGAGAGAGAAAATGAATAAAGCGGCTTTGCTAATTTGTCTAGGTAGGAAATCGCAGGGTTGGTATCGTTAAGTTGCTCTAGAAGTCCCCCCCCCCCGAAACATAGTTAAGATGGTCCTCCCTCTCTTCAAAATAAGTAGACAATGATTAAAGAGTCCGGGCTATATCTAACTCAAGTATTGTTTTGTGTGAAGCTTTTTCTAAAAATGTAAAATATTAAAGTATTTATGCAAAAACACAACCTTGATTTTAGATACTGTAGTATGTGAGTTGGTAGTGATGGGATTAGGGTGACAGGTTACAACCTTGCAACATAGACCTATGCTTGTACTGTACTATTACTGTGGTGTTTCTCAGGCTTGGCAGCTTTGAGATATATGGACTTCAATACCTGCAATTCCTCAGTCAGCTGACTGGGGAATTCTCGGAGTTGAAGTTCACACCTCTTAAAATTGCCAAGCTTAAGAAATACTGGGTTAGAGTATAAACAATTTGCAATCGGGTACATACTCAGCCACGAGCTACCCAACTAGGTATCCATTCCATAGAAATGGGGGATACTGTGGCAAGCAGTCTATATTTCCTTTTACTAACATAAAGAAGAAGAGAAAGAGGAGCTTTGACTGCACACATTATATGGATGCTTCTTGTAATTTTGGTCACCAAACCTGGAGGTGGGAGGTGGGATTCTGCACTTGTAGGGATTCTGCACTTGTAGGGAGCTGAACAAGCATGCTGGCTGAGGAATTTTGGGATGTTGCCAAGCCCATATTTAAAGTTCCCAAGTGTGAGAAACACTGTACTATGGTACAGTGCGTCAGGATTGGAAAAAGAATGTAGAGCAATAATCAATTGGAAGGTGAGGGGAGGCACCAATGAGGAAGAACAGGCAAAGAAATCAATACTATATAGATCAGGACTGCTTTTACGGTATTGAAACAGCTTCAATGACAGAATATTGCAAATCTGAATGTGTTTCCTCCCTCCTCCCTTTATCTTTGGGTGAATTAGGGAGCAGCTTATCTGAAATGTTTTCTCAAGTTATTTTCTTAGCCCAAACTCAAGCTGCTCTTATCAGACCATTGGCTCCATAGTTACTTTTTTTTCCTGTTCCCTCTTCCCTCTATATCAAGAGCCATCTGATATGAGAAGGGATCTATATAAATGCTCAAGTCCTCGGAATCTTATCTCTATTACAAACTCAAGGGCTGTATTCATATAACATTCTGAATTGTAATAAACTTGATTTGGTTTTGGTTTAGCAGGTTCCATGCATTCAATCATTGTAGTTTGTACAATACAGGATTCTGACCAAGGAAATCTGGGTCCATCCTCCTCCACTGGATGTCTTCAAGACAGTTGCTGTCATGTCACCTAGTGGAGGAATGTAGATCTAATAAAGGTGTTCTTAATGCCAATTTCAGTTTATTGCAATCAAAGATTAGCTGATTCTTAAGGTCCTCACAATTAGACATTGCATATGAAGTATCCAGAAATAAAAATTATTATAATTTCATGTAGTATTTAGAGTTAAAGCCACAATCAAATGCCTCCTGGAAAAAATTAGTAGCCAGTCTCCACAGCCAGCAAGGGGTGGAGGATGCAAACTGAGACATTAGCCATTCAGGAATAGAGGAGCAATCAGCAATTACCCTTCTTGCAGCTGAACTCTCCAAAGATTCTTTTTCTAGTCTCTTCACATGATCTGACTTGGTGGTTCCCATAGAGCAGGGGTGTCAAACTGCCGTTCCGTGGGCCAGTTGCATCATGCAATGGCTGTGCCCACCCCAGCTCTGGCAATGCAAAAAAAGTTGTGATACATCATAACACGTCACATGATGTGGCAAGTTTGACACCCGTGCCATACAGTCACCGTAGTGAGGGGGTTATGGAGCTGCCTAGAACCAGTTGTGCTCTTACCTGTCCTCCACCCAAAAGATAATTAGGAAATAAAGTTAGCCTTTATTTATCATTTGAAATTAGGCCTGTAACAAGTAGGAGAAAACTTGTACATATTGTTTGAAGTCTCTTTGTGTGTGTCTGTGTTTGTGTGTGTGTGTGTGTGTGTGTGTGTGAGAGAGAGAGAGAGAGAGAGAGAGAGAGAGAGGGGGGGGGGGGAGAGAGGATGACTCCTGGAGACTGTCTGTACAAGTTCCTGAAGTTTTCTTGGCAAGATTTAGGAAGTGGTTTGCCCTTGCCTGTTTCCCAGGGCTGAGAGAGGAACTGGTCCAAAATCACCCAGCTGACTTGATGCCAGAGGTGGAACTAGAAGTCAGTCTCCTGGTTTCTATCTGATGCCTTAATCACTATTCTACACCAGACTGGCTCTCCCTTTTGAGGGCCACACAACATGGACATTGTAGCATACAACAAATTTGCAGACGACACCAAGCTGGCAGGAATAGCCAACACTCCAGAAGACAGGCTTAAGATACAGAAGGATCTGGACAGACTTGAACACTGGGCACTAACTAACAAAACGAAATTCAATGGTGAAAAAAGCAAGGTTCTACATTTAGGCAAGAAAAACCAAATGCACAAGTACAGCATAGGTCGCACCATGCTCAATAGTAGTAACTGTGAGAGGGACATCGGAGTCCTAGTAGACAATCACCTGAGCCAGCAGTGTGCTGCAGCTGCCAAAAAGGCCAACACAGTGCTAGGCTGCATTAACAGAGGGATAGAATCAAGATCACGTGAAGTATTAATGCCACTCTACAATGCCTTGGTAAGGCCACACTTGGAAGACTGCATCCACTTTTGGTCACCACAATGTAAAAAAGATGTTGAGACTCTAGAAAGAGTACAGAAAAGCGCAACAAAGATGATTAGGGGACTGGAGGCTAAAACATATAAGGAACGGTTGCTAGAATTGGGTATGTCTAGTTTAACGAAGAGAAGGACAAGGGGGGACATGATAGCAGTATTCCAATGTCTCAGGGGCTGCCATAAAGAAGAGGGAATTAAGCTATTTTCCAAAGCACCTGAAGGCAGGACAAGAAGCAACGGGTGGAAACTAATCAAGGAGAGAAGCAACTTAGAACTAAGGAGAAACTTCCTGACAGTGAGAACAATTAATCAGTGGAACAACCTGCCTCCAGAAGCAGTAAATGCTCTAAAACTGGAAGTTTTTAAGAAGAGACTGACAGCCATTTGTCCGAAATGGTGTAGGGTTTCCTGCCTGAGCAGGGGGTTGGACTAGATGACCTCCAAGGTCCCTTCCAACTTTACTATTATTATTATTATTATTAACATGGACTTTTTAGTATTGTTGTACTTGCTAATTAAAATAGTTATTTTGTATTTTAATTTGACTTATTTTTCTCTCTTTTAAATGATGTTAATGGTTTACCAAATCAGCATAGACTGGAAAGAAGAATGAATTAATTGATAACTTCTAACTTTCCAACTCCTTCATGGATTACTGCCTTGTCGTGGCAAAGGGGCTTGTGTAACTCAATGAAGCTATGAGCTATGCCGTGCAGGGCCACCCAAGACGGACAGGTCATAGCAGAGAGTTCTGACAAAATGTGATCCACTGGAGAAGGAAATGGCAACCCACTCCAGTATCTTTGCCATGAAAACCCCATGGACAGTACCAAAAGGCAAAAAGATATGACGCTGGAAGATGAGCCCATTAGGTCGGAAAGTGTCCAATATGCTACTGGGGAAGAGCAAAGGGCTAGTAGTGCTAGTAGTGCTACTAGTAGTGCCAAAAAGAGTGAAATGACTGGGCCAAAGCCGAAAGGAAGTTCAGCTGTGGTTGCATCTGATGGTGAAAGGAAAGTCTGATGCTGTAAAGATCTTTTCTCCATAGGAACCTGGAATGTAAGAGCCATGAATCAAGGCAAACTGGACGTGGTCAAACAAGAGATGACAAGACTGAATATTGACATCTTAGGAATCAGCGAACTAAAATGGACAGGAATGGGTGAATTTAATTCAGGTATACTACTGCGGGCAAGAATCCCTCAGAAGAAATGGAGTAGCCTTCATAGTCAATAAAAGAGTAGGAAAAGCAATACTGGGATACAGTCCCCAAAATGACAGAATGATCTCAGTGCAAATCCAAGGCAAACCATTCAGTATCACAGTAGTCCAAGTCTATGCCCCAACCATTGTGCTGAAGAGGATGAAATTGACCGGTTCTATAAAGCTCTACAATACCTTATAGAATCAACACCCAAAAATGATGTCCTTGTCATCATGGGGGATTGGAATGCTAAAGTAGGAAGCCAAAAGATAACCAGAATAACAGGCTAGTTTGGCCTTGGAGGACAAAATGAAGCAGGGCACAGGCTGATAGAATTTTGTCAAGAGAATACCATGGTCGTAGCAAACACTTTTTTCCAACAACCCAAGAGATGGCTATACACATGGACATCCCAGACGGTCAACACAGAAATCAGATTGACTATGTGCTCTGCAGCCAAAGATGGAGAAGCTCTGTACCAGGGCTTTTCAACCAGTGGTACATTGGCACCTGACAGGTGGTACGCGACCATCCTAGAAAAGTAGTAGCGGGGGAGGGGAATGAGCTGAACCGGTGGCAGCACCGCACAAGCCTGAGCGAGAGATGGCTGGAGCTGCAGGGCTGTCAGGGCTCAACAGAAGCGCCAGGATCAGTCCCACTCTCTGGCTGGTCGGTGCTTCTTCGGGACTGTCAGGGCTCAGTGGAAGTGCCAGGATCAGTGCCAGGCTCCAGCTGGAGCTCAGCGCTGATCCTGGTGCTTCTGCTGAGCCCTGAAGAAGCACCAATCAGTTGGAAAGCAGCACTGATTCTGGTGCTTCTGCTGAACCCTGACAGTCCCGAAGAATGCTGGAATGTTGCAGCATCTCCAGGGTCTTGTGATTTACATTCAGATGCTTGGCAACTGATTCATATTTATGATGGTCACATGTCCCAGGGTCATGTGAAGTGACCAAAATCTGTT